TTGGCGGCCTCGATGTCCGCCCCGAGGGTCCTGAGCGAGCGGAGGTCACCGCCGGGGCCCCCTAACCCACCCACCTGGATGTGTGTGTTTTTTCATTGGCTTTGAGAACCAGTAGCAATTTAGGGTTCGAAGTGGACTTTGCGGCCATTTGTTTCGCGGCTCTTGGGTTTAGGGTTGAAGAAAATTTAGGGCGCTTGGTTTAGGCTGCAGGCAACTCTTGCGCCTCCGGTGACAGTGACTTGGTGTCCGATTTGTCAATCGGGACCCGAAATGGTGGACATCATCTAGGTGGGAATCCACGCTTTTGAGGTGGTCCCTTGCTAAAATTCACGGCCACCGTCGCCGAACAACTTTGGGTAGATCGGCCCAGATAGGCCCAGATAGGCGTTCAGAGCAAACCTTTTCGGGCTCTGGAAGGTTTCAGGGGTTGCTGCTGGGGATGCCGCATATGCCGCATGGGCGTATTGAGTACTTGAGTCAAACGCAATGTCGCGCCAAAAGAAAACAAGCACGGGGAACAAAACCGAATACCCAAGCAAGCTGGCGGTTGAGCCAGCTTTTGGTTTGCATCTATTTACCACGCGCGCGAATGCCCTTTGTGGTGTCTACGGTCAATGCGTAGCTTCCATAGAGGCCATGTACAGTTTCTGCTTCATGTCTAGTCTACCCTGGAAATTTAGCATAGGTTTGGAGAAGACCCCAGAAAGGGGCCCCGGAAAAGCCGATTGGGCCGCTTTCTCGTCTCACCGCTCCGCAGAAGCAGCACACGGATGCTGGAAACTTGCCGAGCATCCTACCACGCACTTGCTTTCGGCCAGGGCTCCAAGTGTATTCGGGAAGGGCTTTTCTTGAACTGGCACCAGTTGGGAAAACCCCTCGGCCTCACAAGTGGCATCTGGCCAACTACGTGATGGTCATGGCGCCCTTCTAGGGTTGTCCAACACATCTGCAAGCTTGACCATCCTGGCCAACCCGATTCATAAATACGAGTCGAGGTATAATATGCTTCTCCTGTGCAAACGTGCATTTATTCATATAGTAACCAAACAAACAAACTAACAATACGAGTGTACACAGACAATGTCATGTATAATACTACATTTTGGCTCCGTCTTCTATTTCTTCCAACCCAGAAAGAGCCAGAGGCTCTCGATCTTGTCAGAGCTGTCCGTGATCGACTTCTCCTTCTCCGACAGGGTCGAGTCGCAGAACTGCTTGAAGGTGGCATACCTCAGTTCTGTACTAGGCCCTTCAAATGATTAGAATGGGTTTGTGGAGCACTTTAAAATCAAATTAGCCCATGAGCATTCTCCACGCGGCCTCCTACTAGCATAATTCATATTATGAGCACGACCTGACTTGGGCGGATTCGTGCCAACAGAAAAATCCATATCTGTTTATTCAGCCCCTCGCAGTCCTCTTCTTCTTTTTTTGAGTTGCTACCCTGTTCGGATTTAACTTGAAAAACCAAAAGTAAACCGAAGCCTGACTCGCTGGTCGCAACGCGACTCGCCTGGATTCGGACGTGAATCAGTACGGCCCGGTTGTAAAATCCGGCGGGCCGCTCATGCGCCCTTATCACATTGGAATGGTTCGGGCCTGGGTGTCCCATTTTCCCTCAACCGGTGACATCATCAAGCCGCCAAGGGGTATAACCTGACGTAGGATGGAGAGGGCCAGCGCGGGCGTGCCGGCGCGTTCCATTTTCTTTTGCCCGCCCGAGCATGGAAAAAAAAATAAAATAAACAAAGCCTTGGAAAACCCATCTTGGAAACAAAAAATTGTCTTCGCTCACCTTGGAACACAACTCTCCCTGATCCCAAGCTCCAAGGCACACACCTGGCACGACAAAGGCCTGACACCCTGAGGTTCAGTTGCCACCATTTGAGATTGTCATCGTCCAAATTGGGTCCTTGCCACTCTTTTCATGGAACATGAACCCTATAGAGAACATATGCCCTACTGTCGAAGTGGACAGTTTGGAAGAAAATAACCGGAACATGTGAAGGCTTCTATTATCATAAGAGGCTACCCGTCACAGCTTCAAGATGCCGCAACACGACTCTTCCGGAATCAGCCATGCCTGCAGAGTGAGACCCTGATTCATAGGGATGATAGTTGTTTTCCCGGGACACCGCCCGAAGCAAGCGTTCCAAGATGCTGCACTTGCTCCTCCTCCATCTCCTTTGTGCCTTTCGCCTTCATGTCCTCCAACATCTGAATGACCTTCTGGACAGGAGTGACATCAGACCTTGGAGATCTCTGGAGGCATCTCTGATTCCAAGAGGGTTTTCAGCCCCAATCCAAAACCCCTGGCAACGGGAAAATGTAGTGGTGATGTTGTGGGGGCGGGGGTGGGGGGGGGGGTGGACCCCTTGAGAATCAAAGGGCTACACAAGAACCTCCAGGATGATGTTGGTGGCTCATGGGTCTTCACTGCTAACATGTCCTTACACAACTCCTGGTAGCTGCTTAGCTCCCTCTTTAAACGCAAAGTTGGATACCCTTCAGCTCCTTGCCTCCCTTCCAACCACCATTAGACTGGGGAAAGAACTGTGCAACAAACATGTGACATCGGGCGTGCCATGCAATCAATGCAGCCAGTGCCCTGTGTCATAACCCGGGCTGCTGGACGTGTTTGATGTAGGACGAGAACAACAAAAGCAAGCAAGCAAGCAAGCAAGCAAGCAAGCAAGCAAACAAACAAACAGATAAAACAAACAAGCAACCAAGCAAACAAACCAGCAAAGACGCAAGACAAGACAAAACAAAGACAAACAAACACAAGCACAAATACCAAGAGCGCGCCGTTTGATTGAGGGCCCTCGAAGCCAATGGGCTTTTCCTAGGGCCCCAGCGCCAGAGCGGCAGAGGCCGCTACCAAGCACAGGAGCCGCTGCATTGAGTCCAGGGGGGGGGGGGCGTGTTCCCGAGCTGTGCGCGCCCCTGGAAGCCCAGAATCCCGCGGAATCGAACCACTTTTCGCTTCTCGCCCCGTGGGCTGCAGCTCAACGTGCGAGTCGGGAGTCAGAAGGGCGGGTCTGTTTTCCGGGTACCTTAAGGCAGCCATTATTTTGGGGGGCGGCCCTAGAAAAATGACACGCACCCAGAAGGCGGGTGATAAGCTGCGCACCTTGAAACGTATCACTAGCAATAGGGATTCTTCGTCGCACAACGAGCCCGGGAGGGAAGGTGACAGTTTGCCGAGCGGCTTCTGTGGCGGATCGCATTCTTGCATACGTCTAGTGGTTTTTGATGGTTTCCTGAAAGAAGGATCCCTGGAAAGAATAGGGAAGGTCCCATGTCTGCTCAAGATGAACAACCGATCGGCATTTGTTCTTCTTGATGGTAACCCCTTTTTGGGGTGTCTTGGGGGACACCAAAGAAAAGAAAGCACCTATGTTGGGCTCCAAGTGCCTACACCGAGTCCAATGCTCTTGTCAGCATTTGAAGGAGCTTGTTTGCTGATGGAATCTGCTGGGCTGTCCTCAGATCCCCCGCTGAAAGCTTAACTTTTCCGTGGACTAGACGGAAATCCAACCACAAAACACAAGAAGGCTAAGAAAACGAAGGAACCGGATGGCTGGCAGGGTTGGGCCGAAATTTAAACACCACCTTCACCAGAAATCATCATGGGTTTAAACGTGGTACCAATAGCCCCACTCTGAATGGCTGGGAGCCACGGAAACCTCTCCCTTTCGTCACCCGTGGCGAAAAGAGAGCGAACAGGCGCCCCATGTCGAGGGCTCTTTGGTTGGAGTGAGAACACCAACAAGTTTTCTAGGTCTGCCAGAGGTTAGAATCCGGCTATTAAGTGTTTTTTGATTGTTTTTGTCCATTTTTAGTAGGGGAACCATCCCCCAAACAAGGGTCAAAGGGCACTACTGGGGGACCTAGTCCAGAACCCCCAAAATTGGGGACCCTTTTCCAACCCGCTCCGGAGAAGCCATTTCGAGCGAGGCGAGATTTCAGCTCGGTTTGTTCGGGCGGAAGTCCCTTTTGTCTCTCCAGCATGGCCTGCCCCACCAGAACCGGCTCAGCTTGATTATTGTTTCAAGCATGGCGTGCCAGCTGATCTAAACCCATTTATCCGAAAATGCGCCGAGGGCATTGTGCGTCCCCGGTTAAGAAATCTCGCGGGCCAGAGGATTCCCCACATTTCCCTTTTCGTGGTCAAGCATCAAGTTTTGGACAGAATTACCCTCCCACCAGTCAACATGGAACCTGACAGGGAGGTGGAGGGCAAATGGGTGATGCTTAAAGGGGAAAGAGGGGGAACCCTTGGCCAGGATGGTTTGACCATCCCGAGACATGCAGACCAAAACTTCGCGCGGGCAGCAGCTTTACTTTACCATTCCAGTAGATTCCAGCTCGTTATCAGTGCTTGAAACCAACTCCTTTGGCTTTTCTCAGGGTCCACGAAAGTGATATCCTCAAAATCACCCTCTAAATGGTGGCCCGTTCATGTGCACCTTCAAGCGCGTTTTTTTGAGCACCCCTCGAAGCAAAAAGCAAGCAATAAAGCACTTCTTCACGGACCCCGTCTGGCGCCGGCAGCGAACCAATGGAAAATCTCACAGTCCGGGCATGGGCAGGAGCTCTTCAATACCCGGATCTGGTATAAAGCGACAGCCTATAGACCGGGCGTCACACCCGTAGAGTCAGAGAGCTCGCCACCGGAAGCCCCACGAATCTGCTCGGGAAAAACAAATGAACAGATGGGACCACAACATGAACAGCTCAGAATCGCATCCCGTCAGTCTGGCTGTCTCCCTTAAATGCAAGCCGCTGAGGTTCCGCTGGCAACACTCCTATATGCCAAGCCTTCAACACCACCACAGGACCCAGCATCCAAAGATAAGCCGGAGACTGTGATGGCTACAAGCAGAACAAGTGCATGGTTGTGGAAACCTGTGCCCGTTTCGGTCATACCAAAGATATGGCCAACCCAAAAGGTAAACCAATGACACATATTACTATACTTCACTTTGGAGGTGTGTGAATCACAGAAGTGACCCCAAGTTTCCACAACAATGAGGCGTGCCAAATTGGCATACAGTCTAATTACTGCGATGCCATAGGGTCTTGCCCCTGGAGCTATACTCTCATGAGGATCTTAATTATTGTCTCGAGTGAGACAGCGCATAAAAAATGATCAGCAGCCAAACATGTCCTTAGCTTTCGAAAGTCCTTTTCTCGGCCGAAATCGCCTACAGCTCTCGGTTTGCAGGCACTTGAGTTTTCAGGGAAGCGCCCAGCAAAAGCAAACACATTTGCACTGGGAGGGACAAAGGATCATCCTTTTGACTGGAACCCTCCGTTCAGGGATTCTAATAACCAACTTACCACAAAGTTTCCCACCCACAAACTGGAAACAAACCAGGCTCTCACCCTAGGTTCACCTTTCGGACCCCACGTCGCACCCAACACCTGCTTAAAAAAAAGAGCTCCGCCAGAAAACCCAGGACAAGTGGGGGATCCGCCCAAACAAAAAAACTCTCTGAAGCAAACAAAAACATGCCGCTGTTGCGACGGCCGGAACCCGGCGAGCCCCCAAGTTGAGCCGAGGCTCATCCAAGCGCTGCAGGTTCATTACCAGAGCTCTTGGCTCCAAATCCCCAGCGCCATACGAGATAACCACCTCGTGTCGGAGAGGCTGGGGTTTCCAACTCAATATTGATGTGGGGGGTTGATGAAATTCCGGGCCCCCAAGTGGCCATGGGTAACTGTTTCCCATTTTGTGGGAGCTACAATCTGTTTGGCGCTTTCCTCTAAGGCCCTCCTTTTTTACAGGACCTTCTTCTTGATTCCGTGGGTCTCCGTTGCGGCAGGCGGGGAATCTCACAGCTCAGCGGCTGTCTCGTCTTGGAGGAGCAGACCGCTCCCAAAGGCGAAGACAGCGCCGCCGCGGGCCGGGGCGGCGGTCTGGAGCGGGAGCTCGCTGGAGATTTGCCTCGAATCTGAGGAGAAACCACGTCCCTGTGGAAATGGACGAGATCCATGTCGCACCACTTGAAAACCATGGTTGTAAGCTATGCTTTGTTAGCTGTCTAGTTGGTTTGGTGATGTTTGGTGGGGGTTCCCATTTAACCAGAGTTTTAAACTTTTAGCAGGGGATCTGAGGACAGCCCAGCGTACCAGAACGTTTGTTGGTAATTATTTACGTTGGGGATAAAATTATTCCAGGGATTCTTAGCCGGTGCGATTGGATTTCGTCCATCCACAGTATTTCAGGAAAACCAGCTGGTTGGTACTGGCTTGAGGGAAGCGACCAAAGGACACATCCCTTCCAGGAATCGTGCTTCCTTGAAGACAACTGGGTGGAGCCCCTGCTTTTGTGGCCAAGATTCAGTGTGTGCCCAAGATCTTTCAAGATCTCAAGCGGGGGATCGCAAAGGAACGCTGGGCTGGAGAAGAACGCACCACCGGACCATTCCGCGAAACGTACTCACACGGGTATGGGACACACCGCCCATTGTTGTCTATTTTAGTGGGGATTGGGATGTTCACTGGGGTTAACCGGGGTTTTGACCCGTAGCCACACCAAACGAAACGGCTCTCAAAGATGACCCACTAGGCGGTCTGGGCTGGGACCTCCTAAACGCAGCCACGCACCGTGAGCCCAGCCCTAAAGACCATGCTTTCAACCGAAATGTAATGGAAATGGAAGTCGAGCTTCAACGCATTCTCCACTTGGGTGTGCCTGTTTTTGATGCCCCCCCGTTGTTGGTTAATTGTCTCAAAAGGGAAACCAAGAGGAACCCCATTGCGCCATTCTGGGGCCGCCCAAAATCGTCAAGAAAAATGACGAGCCGCTAAGAAGAGAAGTCCCCTGACGAATCCTTTCGCCAAGCCGCAGCATGGCAAAGGGCGGCTCCGCACTGAAGCGGTAAGCAAAGTGCTTGTATTCTCCCGTGCTGGGCTTGGCCAGGTGCAACAAGGCCAGGTAGTGCGGGTAGGGCAGGTTGGGCGTGTGAGTGCCGTTCCTTGCGGAAAAAAAAAAGAGCACACCCCAAAGTCAAGAAGTGTTAGTGTTCTTTGTGTTCTTGCTGGGTGGGAAAACAAGTCAAAGTGCTAATCCCTGATTTGCGAGGAAAACGCACCGGAATCCTCAAAATGACCCTGTCTATTAATATGGTTACCCACCAAAGGCTCGCTCCATTCTCGAGGCACATTCACTTCCAGGAATCCCCAGCCAGGTTGCATGTTGGTGGACAGGAGGTATAAAGGTTAAAACCCCGTTCAAAACATGAAAAGCGCCAGTATTGGGGTCCGATTTTGAACACGAACGATCCAAGCCCCTAGCATAGGCGACCTTTTGGACAAATCGATGGGTTCCCCTGGTAAACGGGGCCTACAACCAATCCAAACCTGAGCCCATCGATTAACCAAACCAACCGAACAGGACGCCAGGTCCAGCCGAGGCTCACAAGCACCGCCTGACCGGAGCCTCGCGCCTTCAACTCCGGGTGCCGCTCTTGAAGCCGCTTCAGCGGCTCGAAGGCGGTCTCATAGAGATCTCGGCACCCCTCGGAGTCCACGGCAACCACCTGACCGGGGCCAAAACCGGTCAGCGAGCCGTATCGTCGTTTTATGGATTGAGTTGTTTATATTTTTTGGGGGGGTGCCCCACCTCGTGCGGGCCAGGGATGTAGATGAAGAGCCATGTGATCCATTAAACCCCCACACCTTCTTTCTTTTCGGATTTTCCACTATGATGTTTTCGTTTTTGCTTTTTTCATAGGTTGCTTTCCTTGCATCCCCACCTTGTGCGGCCCAGGGGTGTAGATGAGGTGGAGCTTCCCCTGATAGGCGAAGGGAATCCAATTCTTCTCATCCTGGTCCCGAAAGCCGCAGCCCAAGCGCTGCCCGGTGGTCTCCACCGCGGGAGAGGCGCCGGCGCCCAGATGCGCCAGGTACATCTGGCTCACCGTCTCCGCGGGAGCGCAGCCGTCCCTGCCGCGGGGAGGGATGGAGTTGAAGAGCACCGCCAGGCCGTCGGAGTACAAGAGCTTGGGGTCCTAGAGCGAACTAGACGATCGATCTCACTGGAGACTCGAGTCAGTGAAAGCCGTGAAAGGGGGAAAAGGGGATGGAAATGGTGGAGACCCCCTCTGTCTACATGAAGGGAAAACGATTGGCTGACTGGAATCAGCAAAAGCCGTGGGGTGGGAGACCCCCTCACTCATGGGGTTCAGATGCCCCAAAGCTGGCTCCGAAACACATCCCAACCATCTAGACGACGGGGTTGGGGCGACCACATGTTTCAACGGCTTGCAATATGGGTGAATTTAGTTCTCAACCGTTTGGTGGATATCATTTGGGTGGGGATTCACGCCCAAATGTCCTCAGCTTTCAATATGTGGCGGCGAAATCCAGCGGGAAATGCCCTGGCGGGGTATAAGTCCACCTATGCGCATTGATTGGTTTGATGTCCACCACCCAAAGGGTGAAACCATTCAAATTCATTCCCTTCCCGCTGACATGGCACCTGAACAGGGCTCTCTTCGAATTCGATCCTCGATATGTTCCAGCAAAGGGGTGTGTTGTCAAAGGACACCAAACCGTTTTCTTTTGTCGGCCCTCTGAGACTCTGATCTCCGTGGGGCCAAACAAATCAACAAGTCCCAACCCGTTTTGGCTCAAAAGGGCACACAAAAACAACCGAGGTTCACATCAATGGCCCACATTTGGTCTATACCGTCTTTCCCCCAAGATACAAAATGCCCACCCCGGAGACCCACCCCGTTCGCTGGATGTATGCGGTTTGGTTGTTGAATATCTTGGGCCAGCTTCCCACTCGCCCAGGCCGGGCCACTCCCTTTCGAACGCGCTGTCCGTTTTCAGATCCGCCAAACGTCTAGCATTTGGGTGAAGATGGAAACCCACCCACCAAACCAACTGAAACACCAAAAACCTTTCTGCCGGATGTCTGGGAACCAAGTCACATGTTCAAACCATAGCTTTAGCAACTTTTTTCACAACCCTCCGGCTTCCGTCATGCCAAGGTCTACTTCTCCCTTCCGGCTTCTACGCCCAGTTGCACATGAATACATGTCAAGACAGGGGTAGACCGAATATGGGTGGCTGTCCTGTTGGCTTCCAACCAGAACAAGTCCCCAACCAACAAAGGACTCTTTGTGTGTGTGTTTCCGGTTTCCCTCCAAACCAACCCCACCCAACAAAAAAAACGGGTCCAAAAAAAAAAGCGGCGCGACAAAAAAAGGAAAGAACGCAGCACGTCTGCGTCTGTGTCATAGGTGTCCTTTTAGAAGAAAAAAAGAGAGGCAGTGGTAGATGATTAAACCACCAGGTAAACCAGGAATCGCCATCTATGTTTCTAGCCAATCCACCAAAAGGGACACCTATGGTCTGTGGAGTAATAATAAAACAAAAAACACGCGGCGCGACCAAACAAACGAAAAGAGGAAAGCGGCGTCGTCCGCGTCTTCGTCTCACCCCCGTCCTCCGGCCCCGTGGTCACCTTCCGCAGCAGCGTGTTGTTCTCCGGCAGAAAGGTCTCCCTCACGCAGAGCTGCCGCCAGGCTTGCCCACTGGGGCTGCGCAGGCCCGTCCAGGCCGACACCTGACGCGCTCGGCTCAAAAAATGGTCCGCTCCAGCGCAAAACTTGCCAACACATGGACCAAAAACAAACACCAGCAAAACACAAGGACCAAAAACACAGATCAAAAAACACAAGCAAGACATGGAGCAAAAACCCACCTGGGCTTCCCCAAAAAGCTGGGAAAGTGAGAAAAAACCTCGGCCAGTCGAATGACCCCCCTTGCGCATTGGAACCCGCTTGAACCTGTTGAGCCTGGGTCCCTCGCGCAAAATCACTGGAACTTGGGGAATGAAGCGGAAGATCCCTTTAACCACCTAGGTGCTCCAGTGCAGAGGCAGAATAAGGGTACCCTATTTTTTTTCTGCAGGGGGTAAAAGGGCACTGGGGGACCTAGCCACAATCTAGACGAACTGGATCAGTGATGCTGCAGTGCACCCTAAGTCACCTTGCGGGATGCATAGGGACGCCTGTCATTCATCAACCACTCGGATGAGCAGTTCCCTCAAGGCTCACCTCCATTTGCTGTTTCCCCCCCTGGACAAAAATACGTCCAGTAGTGATACAGTTCCTTCAAACCCACAAGGGAAACAAACAATACTTCAACCAGTGATCAACTCTCTTTAAAACCACCAAAAAAAACCAGACACCCTCCCTCCCACTAACATGGCAACTGACACAGGGTACCAGTACCCCCAAGAAAAAGAAGAAGAAAAAAAACATCTTCCAGGTACCCTTTCACAGGTGCTACGTCTGGAGGGTAGATTCTTCGGCCACTGGGAGCTTCGAGCTCGAAACCAAACCGCAACCCGCGACTTGAAGCTTCGACCAAGTCGCCTCGCTGGCTGCGAAGGGCGCAACTCCCGTCTTCGGCCACTCGGCCCAGCGCCCGGCGTCAAAACTCACGCTGCCCAGCAGGATCCGGGAGTGCCAAATCCTTGGTCAACGCGCGAGGTCTTCTTATCATCATTAGTACTAGTATGTCCCTTGTCATGTCCTTGATCAATAGCTATTATGATCATTACCTTTGGCAGTATCAGTATTATTGTTATTACTATGACGGATAGTATTGTTGTTATTGCTCTTGCTATTGATTAATGGTACGAGGAACTCTATAACTAGTCTGTAGTAGTCTTGTTGTTCTATGATATGATTAGTAGGATGACTATGATTATTATCATGTATCATTTGTATCATTTGTATCATTTGTATCATATGTATTTTATGTATCATCATCATCATCATCATCATCATCATCATCATCATCATCATCATCATCATCATCATCATCATCATCATCATCATCATCATCATCATCATCATCGTCATCGTCATCGTCATCGTCATCGTCATCGTCATCGTCATCGTCATCGTCATCGTCGTCATCATCAACAATCAAACTGTGCGGATGTTGGCAAAAGCGAGGAGCCCATTTCAAACCCGGGTTTGTGCTCAAGGCATGTCCCATTCAAGACAATGGCTGCATCCCACGCTGGGACAAAACAAAGGGGCAACCTGGACTGAATCCCACGATGCCCAAGTTGGCCCAAGGTCTTGAAAGGTCGGGGCTGGCAACTGCGTCTTGAAGGGCATAGCCCAGCCATTTGCAGGGCCCCAGACAATCTCTCTGCACCCTTTGAGAAGGGATTCAAAGAATTCCCTCCGCAAGAACCGCAAGATGGGCATCCGCACCCATTCACCGAATCTGCCGAACCCGGGCCGAACTCGTACTTCAGGTAGGGAACAACCCCAGTGGCTGGCTTCCAACCCCAACAAGTCAAAGATAATTAGAGGGGCACGCCGAAAAAAAATCGGTTCCCTGGCAATGACATGGGTCTCTGAATCAGTACATCGGGTGTGTCCTTTCTTGAAGCTCCATACCCCTTTTGGGGGGCTATGGTGCAACGGAGCATCCAAGGGAAACCAGCATTTCTTGCTGTTTAGATAGGCAGGGAATGAGAAATGGAATGACCCGGACCAAACCCATTGCTACTATGGTTTCCTTTCAGAGAATCCCCCAGAACCGGCTCATTCCCTAAGACCCGGAAGGTCAACCCCGTCAGCACCCAGCACGACTCTTGAGGGGTCCCCTACAAGACAAAGACTCTGCTCGATCACGTGAACCACCGAGCCGTTGTGCTCCCCGATGTGTTCCCAGCTCTCGAGGTGATGGCGTCGCACCGCGATCTTCACCTCGCCCTCGTGGATAAAGAGGGACGGGTTGATCAGCACCTGAGAATCAAAACCTGGCCTCGCGCGCACGTATGGCACCTGACATGGGGTCCCAAGAGAAAAACTGATCTTCCAGGTGCCCTTCCACAGATGCTATCACTCATTTTTGGTTGGGACTGTGACTTACCTTCAACTTCCCGGGTTTTGATTGTGCCTAGATCGGGATGTGTGGGTTGATCAAGATTCCTGGGCCCCAAATGACCATGGGTATGTTTTCCCGTTTGGTGGTTGAAATATCGTCTGTTGAGTGCTTGTCCACAATGGTCATCCCATATAAAGGACCTTTTGCTCAACCCCCATGTCTCTTTGTTGGTGGTTGGGCATCTCCAAATTCCCTTTGCGGATGGTTCAAAAAAACACAGCAAGCCCGTTGTTTGTTGGGAGGGGGGGGTCCCCGATTTTGACTCAAGCCCATATCTGGGCGTCCAAAAGGCGCAAAAGCAGTGAATACCAGTGGATTCCGGCATTTGTGTTGGTTTCTTTGATTGATTGTTTGTTTGAGGGTCTCATTACCCCCCAATTCACATACGTACATATATACATATATTACGTGTGTATATATATATATATATCTACATAAATATGTCGTATATATATATATACATATATATATATATAACGGACGGAGCAACCTGCAGCTCTGCGCCTCCGGCACCCATCTCACCAGGCCCACGGAAGGCCAGGGATTGAACCTGAGGCCCTCACTCCGCCCAAGTCATCTGCGGGATCTGTGAGCGGCAACCTGGGTGTGCGCCCCAAGCCGTTGTTTTTGTTTCTTCTTCTTTTTTCTGCCATGCTCTCTGGTGGCTTCGGCCTTCCTAACTGGAGAAATGCCGATGTTCATCCCGTTTGCCTCACACGTCGGATAACATGTGGAACCCAGCCCAGTGGCCATGAAAAGAAAGCGCGCCTTGTTGTACTGGTCCTCCGTTTTTCAGGGGAAGCCCTCCCAAAAAAGAAAACAATTTGGCACCACCGGAGGTAAAGGCCCAAATCTAGGTGCTCCAGTAGAGAGGCTAGAATAAGGGTTCCCTTTCTTCTCTAGTCTATTTTAGTATGGGAACCCTCCCCCAAAAAAGAAACGGTCCGGGCACTACTGGACTACTGCAGGGACCCAGAAATCGCCCAGCAACCGGACGTCCACCATCTCGGCGTCGTGCCTCACTTCGGCCTCGAGGCCTGTGAACGCGCCTGGCTCGGGAGTCCGAGTCCCCGACGGCCCTGGGTCGAAAACTTTGGGGCGGTCCGATTTTCGGATTGTCCCGCGAAGACTGAGGATTTTTATAGGGTCGAGTACGGAAACCATCCAGAAACCCAACCACTAAAACCAACGAAAGGGCGAAGAAAAATATCTCAGGGGAAGCTGCCAAGCAAAGGGAACACCTCGCCCTTGAAGCTTCCAATGGCACATCTTCCCTTGAGAAACACTGGAGTGGTCCACAACTCCAGCCTCCCAGCGACCGACTTGAGGCAGCCGCGCCTGGGCCTGCGGCGGGGATGTAGTTCAAGCCCACCAGCAGCAGGGTCAGCAGCACCGGGACGCCGCGCCGGGAGTTGGGGTACTTCGTCCAGAGGCTCTGCGCCGGCTTCTGGATCATGTGCACGCTGATCACGGAGATCCCGAAGAGGAAGAGCAGGAAGAGCACCGTGGAGCCGCCCAAATACCCACCTCGGGCATGGTCAGACTCGTTCAAGATTCCCAAACGTCGCCAAAGACATGCGCATTCCTGGAATCAAGAGAAACCCAAAACGAGCTTCCGTGGGTATGCCCTCTTACTCCAGCATCGAACATTAACTCCGGAAAAAAAGAAGAACAAAAACAAGAAAAACGAAGAAACACAACTGGCCCAGCGGGGTGTGCTCCCAGCCTCTTGGCCACAGGCTGTAGGCCAAGCCCTGGAAGAGGTAGTAGGAGAAGGCGTAGGGCTCCAGGAAGTCCAAGTGCGATGCCTTCTGCGCCAGGTAGGGCAACGGCAGGCTGGGCAGGCCTGGCTTGGCTGGATATGGCCATGGCTCAAAAGCCAAATCGTACCAGTGAACATCCCAATCCAACCACTCAAATAGGTTCTAAAATGGGTGGTGCATTCACCTAGCCCAAAATGGGATACCATTGGTTTTGACCCACGGCCACATGGATGGCTTGACGGCTGAATTCTAGGGGTACCTTCCAATTCCATTCTTTCCAGGGATCCGACTATTTTCAAGAAACCATCAAAAAACCAGGGGAAACAGATCCGGTTATTGAAAAGAACGATGGTTGGAAAGAATGGGCAATCAACCCCTATGAACCTGGTGGTTGGCCCCCCCTTATGTTGACACGCAGACCCAAATGTTTAAGCCCCGCATGATACCCCCTGGCTCCTGGAAGACCATTTCCCTTTTGCAGGGAGGCTGATTGGTGGGAGGGTATCTCCAATCATGTACGCCAGGCTATAAAACGCACCGCCAATGCAGGTCCATGATCTCATTGGTGGATCCATGATGCACCCATATTATCCACTCAAGTTCCATGACAGCAGAAATGCAAACCCCAAAACCCCGGGCTCAGTGGTGGAAACGGCCGTCTATTCCTTAGGTATTTCCATCCACCCAATAAGAGCAATGGCTTGGAAGACTTGCAAGCGCGTGCAGCCAGGCGCAGGCAGATGGAGCAACATCATGCTTAAACTAGACCCTGATCTTCAAAAGAGGAAACCAGTCAACAGGAGGTTTGCTTAATGTGTTTAAACATGTTGAAGCGAGACACAGCCATGTTGCACAACTTAACTTGCCCCAGCCAAGAAGCTTGTACCATCTGTATCAAACCAAGTTCCACCCCCACCGACCCCCACCGACCCCCGCCTAACCCCCCCCCCCACCCCGCCCCATTCCGCCTGCCAAGCCCAAGATCACCGTGGCTTGCAGCGGCAGCAGCAGACCCACCTGCGTGGTGATCTGATAGCCCCAGGGCCGCAAATCCTCGCGAAGCCGCGAAAGCGACACCGAACCCGCAGCTTCGGTGTCCGGGGGAAATTCGCGGACTTGAGCAGTCAACTTTACTGCCCTAAGAATCATGAGTTATATGACCCCTCCAATGCGCACGCCTGGGCCCTCTTTCAAGTGCCCTCAAAAACAACCACTTCTAAGTGGAGGCCCCAAAAATCGTTGGGACCCTGGGTGCAAAAAATAACATGCACAACTCGGTGACTCCCACAGGTCCCTTCAACTCAATTCCTGCAGATCAATTGTCCAAAACGACTCGGACTGGTTGTTTGCCACGTAAATTCTAGGTCCACCTTTTTTTTCTGTAGTCTATGTTAGTAGGGGAACTCTTTTTCAAACAGGTAAAAGGGCACTACTGGGGACCTAGATCTTCCCAAACAGCTTAAAGTCCACGATTCGTTGCGTCTTGCTGCATATTCCAGACGCGATCACCGAGAGGCTGCTGAACCAAAAGCAGTCAAATTATAGCAGTCCCTTAAACTCCAACGAGCCCTCACAGGGCGCAAAAAAAACAGCGCGGAATCAAAAAACAAATTTCAACGAAACAGCGATTCATTCCTGAACAGCGGGCTGGGAGCATTCCGAGTTAGCACGGGTACCGGGCGCTCCCCTGCCGGCTTCCCCATTGCCCCCTAGTCATGAAAGGACGCATGAACAGAGACCTAAAAAGGGGAAGTGCCATTTGTTGGGCTGACCCCCTTCTGTCAGAGAACCCGACCTGGCATCTGCTACAGGTCCCTCCAACTTGCACCTTCTGCAAAATCAAGATAGCTGGACGATTCGCAAATTCCATGCCCCAAGCCGTCGAAGCGACATGGGAAAGTCATGACCCCCAATAAAAGAAGCCCCAATTCGTCCCTAGATGTCATAACTAGGCCGCCTTTGGCTTCCGTTGCGGAGTTGGCTCTAGCGGATGTTGGCGCCCCGCTCCTTCACCATGAATACCAGCAGCAGGCCAACGATGCTGGCCGGCAGCAAGGACTCCAGCACGACGCGGCACCAAAGGCCGCCTGGAAGTCTGGAAGGCGGAGACCGGACACGTGGCAGGGACGTTAGATGGAAATCCCCCCTCTCCCAATCCATTGGCTTTTTAGAGACCCCCTGGCAAAAGTGAGAAAACATATGTCCAATAATACTTTTGTCGCAGCCGGTTCCCCCCAGTCCTTATTCCAGCGGGCCCGTCACGATAATATGTCAAGCACCCAAGAAAATTCGATCCCATGCGAAGTCGCCAGAATGTGGCACAAGTTTGGAGATAGTGTGTTGTTCTCCTGTTGGTTTCGATTGAAACCACAAAACAATGGACAAAGTACCCTCCCCGCGACACACACACACACAATTGGTTGTTCCATATTGCCCGTCAGCTATCCACGACAAATGTTCTTGGGAACTCGCTAGATTTCCCCAAAACAAAGCGGGGGACTCGCTCCTTGTCCATGTTCTTTAGGGGAATCAAGTAACGTTGATCACGGCTCACGTGATTTCCTTGTATCCACAAAAGGCAAATCTGCCGGGAAGGGTCCCTTTGGTTACCGGGGCAACGCCCCTTGCCAAATCCACGACTTCCGTACGCTACTTCGGCGAGAAAAAAACAACTTTACAACCCGCAGACACTAACTTAAGACTTGCTCATTGGCTTGTTGTTGCCAACGCCCCCGAGCCAGAAAAGGTGATGCTTCCACGCCAGCTGAGTCTCCTCATGCTGCGAGTGGGACATCAGATCGTATGGGTCCGTCTGTTTTTGAAGGTGCCCTTTTGTTGGTGTTGCTAAAGGGAAACCAAAAGAAAAACCGCGGCCTTTGTGGGGGTCCAACCTGACAAAGACAAGCCCATAACCCATGAGGCCATGTTTGAGCCGTGATGCCCACATTGCCATCCACCAGCTTCCGGATCTTTGCCATGAGCATGCCTGTCAAGCTTCCGAAGGGGGGACCTGGGTCAACCCGCTACGTCAGAATAGGGGACCCCCCAAAACTGCGTGGGTTCCTTTTGGTGAAGAGCGGGGTTGGTACCCTAAAAACAAATCGCAGCACCCATCTCTCACCGCTGAAAACGGTTGCGGTCAAAAGAGTTTCACCCAAAAGGTTTAAAGTTCGGACGACATCAACCGCTCTTCGTAAGCAAAATGCGAAACACTCAGACACAAACACACACTCCCAGCCAGACACAGACGCAGACGCAGACGCAGACGCAGACGCAAACACAGACAGACAGACAAACAGACAGACAGACCAAGACCAGACCAGACCAGACCAGACCAGACCACAACACAACACACAACACACACACACAACACACAACACACAACACACAACACACAACACACAACACACAACACACAACACACAACACACAACACACAACACACAACACACACACACAGTTTGTGGCGCCTTTGGCTCGGCCTTGGGAGAGTTCTTCTGCTTTCCGAAGGACATGGATTCAGGTGCTCACTGGACAAAATTCCGGGGCATGTGGGTACCAGAAAAGTGAAGCATTTATATATTAATATATTATATACACATGTATATATATATATATATGTATATATGTAAGGTTCAGAAGGACAGATCCGGTTCCGCGTCGCTTTGGGGCATTTGAGCCGTCCGTTTTGGGTGCGGCGCGCCTAGGGCGAAGATGTGCACATAGCAAATGGGATTGAACTTCACGAAGATCACCACCAGGTCTATGGTGCTGTCAGTCTCGCCCCAGTGATGGTCAGCATACCTTTCAGGCTCAACCCACAAAAAGATATTCTTCTCTTTGACACACACGGCATGGCATAGTTTCCTTTACCCTCTTTGGCTTACATGGCCTTGCCAGCTTCTGGCTGTGCCTCTGCCAAACTTCAACCCACCAAAATCCTGCTGGAAAGCACGTATTGAAGTTGATCAAAAGGTCCTTGAGTCCTTGACATGGTATGACCATTGGGGAAAACCACCAAACAAAATGACTTTCCGACTTCGTGGGGTTTCCCGTGGTCATTCCGGGGCCAAGAATATTGATCCACCCCCATATGAGTATATCGTCTTGGTAAAGGGCAAGGATGTGAGATGTTACCATTTGGCAGTGGGTGAAAACTAGGTACCCAAAATCTGGTGGCTTTATTTTGACCCATACCCATTCGACCCAGATGCCACAAGCGCGCTTGGAGTGCTTCCGGGATGATCACCGCCAGCCATGGCAAGGCAAACACCGCGCACACGGTGAGCACGGCGCCACGCAAGGCCAGCCTGGCCGGAATTCGGCAACCAGCGACAGCGTGCACAAACAAATTTGTGTCTCACATGGCTGTGGGTCAAAACCAATGGAATCCCATTTTGGGCTAGGTGAATTCACCACCCATTTTAGAACCTATTTTAGTGGTTGGATTGGGATGTTCACTGGGGGTACGGGATTTTGACCCATGGCCACATGCATTCCCATCTACGCTTGGCGAGCCCTCGCAAAGAAATAATAATAGCCTTGCAAGGGTGAAGTGTGTTCCTTCGAACAAGTAGAAATCCCTGCCAACAACTGGCTGGCGCTTGAAACTCAAGCCCGTCAATCTCTTTCGGCAACTGGAAACGTGATGCTGCCATGATCTGCTCATTTGCGCTTCCCCCCCGAAAAAAATGAAACACAAAGAGGCGTGCAAAGGCTCACCCCCCCAAACTGTACGGGTGTTTTGTGTCAAAATACGAAAATAGAGGGCCCCAAGGAAAAATGGCGGTTGTCCTGAGTGTTGTCCTTCAACCTCGGAAGAAGTCAGACACCCCTATGCTCGGTTGCTTTCTGCTCCCCTGCTGAAAGCTTCACAACCAGTGGTTTAATGGAAAACCCATTAGTTGGCAAAAAGCTAAAGTCCTAACATCCAAGCAAAGTGCACCAAAGTATGAGTCTCAGACTCATTTTTTTTGGCGCTTGCCAAGAGCCCGCCTGTCAAAGCACCAGGTCAAGGGCTTGAAGAGCAAGAAGTGCATGAGCATGGCGGACAAAAACCAGCAGTGAGCACCCAAGGCATGCTCCGGCCACTCCGGATTCCAGGCCTAGCTCCGTGAAAAAACATCACAGCCAGTGGTATTCCAGTAGGAACGGAGGCTCTGGGGGTTGGGTTTTTCTAGCGTCTCATTAAATGGTTTCTACTCAAAAGGTGGGTTTAAAGGGGTCTGCTCGGAGTCAAGAGGCTGACAGTCCCTTCACCCCGGAAACCCGGAATGGAAGGATTCCCAAGTGAAGAGTCTGATCGAACAAGGGCGGAGGCCCCCCGTGGGGTATGCTCCCCCGCCAAAAGTTCGCACATTTTCGTGGGTTTCATGAGAAAAACCCCTTCGTTGGCGAAAAGTCAATTGCGCCAACAGTCCTCACATCAAAGACTCTCTCTCTCTCTCGCGCGAGAACCCGCCCAGGACCAATCGCCTGCAGCAGCCAGGTCTGCGCTGCCAGGACCACCGCCTTCTTCTGCACTCCGAGGCCTTTGGCGATGACCAGGGCGGGCAACAAGGTCGAGGCGTACCTTCGACTCGGATTTGGTCGGGGCGGCGTTTTATGGGGTCCTTGGGGCCCCTTTTTGGGCTGCTCGGTGGTTTTAGGGGGTCCTTGGGGCCGTTTTTGGGGTGTCAAAGTCAGAAAACCGCGGGGGGTGTCCCTTTAACCCACCAAAGGGGGGGTGGCTTTGAGACTGGTAAAAACAGACTCAACCACCCACGTGTTTGTGCTCAACATGGTTCAGCCACAAACCAAGCAAAACGGCTCTCCACACGGAAACCCTTGAGCCTCGCCCCTCCGTGTCACGTCCAAGTGACAGCGGGTAGACCGTCACCAGGCGCCGTTCCGTGTATTGCAAAATGCCTTGGTCAGAGTTCAACCCCAAACCAAGGAGCTCCTTTCTTGTTGAATTAGTGTCTATCGATCATGCGGAGGGCAAACATGCAAGACAAACATGTAAGACTAGATCCATTTGGGCAAGACATCCTCCAAACTACCCCCGATTTTTTTAGCGGTCTAAAGAGAACCCGAGGAACCGGATGGTTCTTTGAACCACTTCAAGTTACACCTCCAAGCCATATATAGCAGCAGCTTACTTCCCAACCCCCTTGGCGTCCCTCTGTCACTAGTGGACCCAGCCATAGCATTAGCATATTTCACAACCCTCCTGGCGTCCCTCGGTCACTTCTGACCCAGGCGCCATCCTTGTTGGGCCGGCACTCGTGGCCGTTGCCCAACACGAAGCCCGAGAGCATGAAGAACCACGGCACCCAGGTGAAGCCCCAGCCGAAGAGGTAGACATCCTGAGACCGATCCCAGCTTGTCATTCAAATGGGCGTCCGAATGCCGGACGGTTGAGCTTCAAACACATTCAAAAAAAGGAAAGGGAAAACGGGAGCCACGGCCAAACAAAGGGAGCCAATGAACTGGGAGTCTTAAGTTTCAACACCCTGCCGAAAAAACGAAGGAAAAAGGATGCCACTGATTAACTGGGCATCTGGAGTCACCCCTTCAGCATACAGGTGGAACAGAACCACATGCACGGCCGCAATGAAGCGTGCAAGGCCCAAAGGGAACTTGTCACCAGCCTTGGGAGGTGTCTTTGGTGCCGGCTTGGCCGCTGAGGGCTCTGCCATCACTGCGTGGATCTCACCAGCCTGGGCGACAAGGCTACAAAACAAAGTGCTCAGTGTTCTGACCCCATGCCCCTCCCTTGGAAACACCTCAGGGGCGGACATCTGCGGCTTGTTCATCTGGCACAACTTCATCCATGACTCCTCCTCCCAAGTGGACGGTGACGGCTCGATCCATATCCGGCTTGGAGCGCGGAGAAACGTCCACCGGAGCCGTGGCGGACTTGTTCAGAGTTGCCTCTGTCACTGAGGCGAACTTGGAGTCGGACGCCTCTTCCTCGAATGGATGCAACGGATGCGCCCAAGATCAGAATCAAGTCTTTCTGCGGTGGTTTCAAGGGAAGCCAAAAGGAAAGCCACCATTTTGGGGTCCCATACCCTAACTCAGAGCCGGAGGAAAGTCATTTGAAGAGTGACTAAGGGGTACTGAGGGTTTCATGGGTGACCATTGCCTCGGTTTTCGCTGCCTGAAATAGTATTGGAATGTACATGTAGGTGCGTGGCTCTGAATGTTGAGGGAACATCCTCGAAGTCTTTGGCGCACATAAGTTCCAGTCTAAACGATGCCCCCCCTTCAAAGACAAACTCAGTCACACTCGCATTCTTCAACCGCATGTCCTCCACGGGCTGCTCTAGCACTTCCTCCACCGGCTCCTCCTTGGGTTCCTGCTTGGCCTTGCAGCATCGCCGCAAGCGCTGGGGCCACTGCCACATCCACGCCAGCAGGAAGAGCCTAAGGAACATACATCCAGCTCTTGTCGAACTTGTGGCTTGGATTGGTGTTTGGTCAGGTGGTGGTTTCCCATTTACCCTCCAGCTCCAAGGCTTCAAGTTCCCAAGCCACCAATCCAGACCAACTAAGGCTAAGGGTTACCTGACAAATAGTGGTCTGGGAACAACACAAAAAGAACACCCCTTCCCAGTTGGTGTTGGCCACAAAAAAACTGAAAATACAACAACATGCGAATCCCTTTTCGTTTTTGGCAAAACAAGAAAGTATTGGTTTCCCTTTGGTTAAACTCTAGCTTACGGTTGCTATTGATCGTACCCAGGAGCGCGGGCAGTAAGGCCACCAGAGTAATGGGCACTTCAGCCGCCTCTAGGCACCAAACGCGGAAGCACGCATCGCTGGAGGCGGTTTGCTCCTGGGAATCTCTTTGCTTCCGGGAACATGACACAAGCAGAAGTGTCCTGAGGTGAGTTTGGTTGATAAACGATGGTACTGCTTTCAATCTGGTTCTCAACATTTGCCAGTGAAATCTTTGCAAAAGGACATCTATGGGCACAAGTTGTATGTGTTGTGGGACCTCCTGTGACACCTTCTTGACACTCCAACAGGCCGTTTTAAAAAGCAATTCCCACTGGAAGGCCCGTCCAAGCTGCGAAGATCCTCCTAAAGCGGGCTTGAAAGGGTTCCGTGGTACCGGCTTCTCAGGTCTTCCAAAGGGCTTCTCAGGTCCGCAGGGGAGCCTGCCACTCCTCGAAGCTCACCGAAAGGTTCCGGAAGCAAGCGCCGGTCAAGTTCGCCTGGACGATGCTTCCCCCAGTGGCCACCATCTTGCACGGCACGTCCGCGGCGCATTCCCAATCCATGCACCAGTGGTGGGTCTTGTCTGGACCGCAGGCCTGGTCTCGGTACCTTGCGGATTTTTACAGATGTGCCATGCTTCTGGCTGGTGAATTTTAAAGGGAAACCCCCTCCCGACCCCCTTCAAAAAATAGAAACCACGAAGAAGGCACCAAGAAATACTTTGGGGTAAGTTGATTTCAAGAGAAACCTCCGGGGAAAAAACAGAAAAAGAGTCGTTTTTGTTTCAACTCACCTCCGAACCAAAGTGAGACACCCACCGACACAACGCAACGCGGGGCTTTTCTCCGAGGCGCTCCGGGCAGTTGTCGAAGTTGGGATCGTTGGCCACGTCGGTGGCGTGGCACGTGGGCCCCTCGAACTTGGCGAAGTTCCCGGAGGCCGCCAGGTCCAAGGGGCACATGCCTCGCACCACAAAACCCACGGGTTCTCTGGCCTTTTCTTGGTTGCTGTTGACCCCCCTGCACAAAGTTTTTTATTGTTTGCGGGTTTAGTGGAAAACCCAACTTGATTTCCCAAAAAGTTGAAGTTGATAAAGATCCAAGCCAATAGCAGTTGAGTTGTTTTGGTTGGAACCCTCGGTTGGGTGGGATTGCTCAGGGAATCGCGAGCCATTGTGGGGGGTCTGAAAACAAACACACACCTACACGGCTGACTGTCCTTGTCCGCTTGTTGCTGGCTTTCGGACGTGGAAAACGGGCTCCTTCCGCTTATTTCCAGGGAGCAGGCGTTGGTCGATCGAATGCTGTGAACCAGCGGTAATGGTGCGATGAAACAACAAAATGGCGATGGCTCTGATCTCTGAGAGATCAAACACATGGCTCTTTGATTCAAGGTTCCATGAGTGTTTCTTCAAATCGACTTCGGACCCCACAAAATGCGGGAGTTGTCTGTTGGTTTCTCTGCGAAAACAACCCAGCAGGGTTCATCACATTAAATAGTGTTTATCAAAATGGCTTTTGGACCCCTTTCGGTTGGTTTCTCATGGGAAAGAACAGGGGGGCACGGACCCTATTTTTAAGAAGCCCCCAAAGGGGTAATGGGCAATGGTGAAATAAACAACCCACAACAGTTGGGGGGTTGTCAAAATTAGTGTTGGCCCTTGTTAATGTTGTCACCTTTAAAAGGCGGCACAAGGCGGTATGGGATTTGAAAAGGGGCCAAACTCTTGATAACCCCCCTCCCCCCCAAGTAAACAGCCTGGGCAATGATTCTGCTTCACCAACCGGAAGGGGCTCCCCAGAAAAGAAACTTCATCATGGGCTTCGTCACAACCCCCGGCCAACTGACGTCTGAATGGAACCAGTCAATACCTGGGCTTACCCCAAGACCCAATACCCTAAGGCCCTAAGAATTCCAACCTGGAGTCTACTCTAAGCCATGTCAAGTATCCAAAAGCCTTGTTGCCGCTTTCGTTTACAAGACAGGCCCATCTTCTTCTCCTCGTCCACCCCAACTGCTCCGCCACATGAGTGGCTTCCAATTGGCTTCCCTTGCTCCCTCAAATCCTATCAACTCCACAAAGGTCAGCTCTATGTTGAGAACCCTCAAACCGCTGGACCCCGAAGTAGGTATCCGAATCGAGCCTAAACCGTTGGCCTCACATTAAAAACAAAACAAAACGGGGGGGGTTGTAACCTTGCTCCAAGGTGAATGCAGGGGGTGCCAACGGAGAAAAAAAAACAAACAAAAAAAACAAAACAAATATTCCTTGGCCCTTCCTCTCCCCCCCCCACCCACCCCCAACCCCCCGGCCGTTCAGCAGGATCTGCACGGCCCAAAGGAAGTTCACCGGGGACCCGTGGCCACGGATCGCCTGGAGTTGGTTTTGACATTTCGGGATGGATCCCAGCTGAAATGTCCATGGGAACCGCAGCATCCCAGCCTCATTGGTGAAGAAATCTTCAAGCAGCGAAACCAAGGGAGTTGTCATCTATGGATGGATGGGGGATGGCATGGGATGGCATGGGATGGCAGGGCATGGCACGGCATGGCACGGCATGGGATGGATGGGTGGAGCGACCGGGGCTCTGCGGACAGGAAACCCTCCCTCCCGCTATGGCAGGGCAGCCAGCCAATTTTTTGGGGAGTTGATCTATGGGCGTGTCTGAACATAGGTCCGCCTCAAAAATCGGGAACCCCCCCAACAAAAAACATCAAACCCCGCCGCGGCAAAAAGGAGCACCATTAGGTGTCTGGGCCTCTCACTTTGTCCTCTTAAAGGGGATGCCCCCAAATGGGAACTCCAAGAACCACATTGTTTGAGAGGAGCTCCCTTGGCAAGGGCCTTTTGTGGCAAAACCAACTCACATCATTGTCATGAAACCCACCGGAGGGAGCCCAAGAAGGTGTCCGAAAGCGGTTGCTTCGCCGGCGGTTCCAGTTGATTCAACCAAAAGGTAGGTTGACCACCCCAAACAAAAATAATTAGCTAAGCACGTAAGGCCTCCACTGCTTCAGTCTCCTGGGAAAAATGCGAGAATATTCCGGTAGTGATGTATTGCCTTCAAAGCCAAGAGGGGGAAAACAACAAACATGTTATTATTTCCAGCAAATGGAAGCAATCACAAACAAACAAACAAACAAACAAACAAACAAACAAGCAAGCAAGCAAGCAAACAAACAAACAAAAAAACACACAGACAAACCAAGCAACCAAACAGGCAAACCAAACCAAACAAACCGAAAAACCGCCCCGAACCCCGCGGCCGTTTCTCGGCCTCACCGGGCATCGACTGGCCCATAAGTGCCAGATCCAAGAGCCGCAGGTCCCGGGACCCACGGCTGGCCATGACGTCGCGGATCACGTCCTCTCGGAAAAAGATGACATATATGGCCATGGGGGACAACCTCTGCATTTCTCCATTTTGGGGCGGAACACCCATGTGCCACCTATTTTGATGTTCGCCAGGGGTTTCCTTCATTTTGACCCACAGCCATTTCAAGGTGCGGCGCTCCAAAAGCGAGTCTGATTCCCCACAGTTCACCCAGGGGCACCCCCGTATTAGACAAAAAAAAGAGATAAATATGGGGTCAGCATTGCCAGGAGTTCTGCAAGGACATGGTGGTGCATGTGTTGAGACATAACCCGTGGCTGAAATCCAATTCGCACCGTTCAGAACCCCTGGCTTCGGGTTCCCCTGTAAATACCAACGAACCATGGGTTCAGCCATGGTTTCAAAGTGGTGCAGGACTGTGTCCAGCCACAGTAACTCTCACTTCCGATCGAGTGGATGGGCTAAACACAGGTCTAAACTTGTCATTTGCCACCAAAATGGTCCAACCCCAACAAGTGACCAAAGTTCAGAAACTTTGGGAGTGAGTCTTTCTGTGATGCCTGGGGCCGTCCCTAGGAAAACTTCATCACTTTAAGTGACAAGTTTACCCAAAGTTCTCACAGAAAACAAAAGCCCTAAAGCCCAGTCTTCGACCACCACTGGGGTATGTGTTTAATTTTCAAGCAAGGTGAACAGGAGACCAGTTGAAATCCCTCTTGGACCAAATCTGTATATATATATATATACGATTTCGGGATTCTGGGGTACGCACATATGATGTCCTCAGATCGTGGTCCAAACCAGCCAACCCCCACCAGTCAAAATGGGATCCAACACGGTTTTGACAACTACAGCCATGTTGCAACTCCGAACCAGCCAGCCCCCACCGAACGAGTCGTTGGATGTTGCAGCGGTCCTGAAAGTCGTTGTAGCGCGGATCCTGCCAGGCCAGCACCGTGGCGGTGGCCACCGTGCAATCCTTGAAGGCGGCTTCGGGACCGCAGTGCGCCTCGGCCGCTTCGGGGTCCCCCAGAGAAACGAGGAAGGCGCGGGGCCCAACAAAAAAAACGGGCCCCCGAAAAAAGGGGGGCCAGCTCCCACCCGTGGCCCCCCTCCCTGAACAAAGGGGCCAGGTACTCTCCCAGCCTTCTCACATGGAACATGACAGGGTCCTGGCTTGTTTTAAAGGGACCGGGTCCCGAACGTCAGGTTCTATGTTCGTTGGCGGGAGGGTACTTGGTCATGTGCGGTTCGCCAAAACTACTCGCTCTAAGATATGTGGGAATTGTTTACTCCTGGCTCTTACCAGTTACCCTCATACGATCTCTGGGTAAGCAATGATTTGTCCCTCCAGCCTAATCCCACCCTCCACTAGCACATACCAATAGACACCCTCAACCCCCCCGCCCTCCCAGGGATCCATGATGGTTTGTTTCGCCCCTTTCTGACCCCTGAAGTGCCTTTATTGGACACTCTCTGTGTATTGTTTCCTTCTGAGATAACCAGTTACAGTGCAGAAGTGACCCTCTCTGGGATTCGATTTTCATATCAGTTCCCTTGCCGCGCAGCTGTTCTTGCTTTTCGCCCCTTGACCATCGACATGAACCATCAATATGAACCAATCCTGGGGGATTCTGCGATCAGAGGGCCACCTGACACCACACCATCCGCCGGCCTGAAGCTTGTCTGCCACGGGCTCCATCTCCGCCCGGAAGATTCCCAAGTTTTCCTCCTGGCTCCAGCTGAAAGCGGCCGGTCGCCCCAAGTTGGGGGAAAGCAAAGCTGAGATGTCTTGTGTGTGTGTGTTTGTGTGTGCGTGTTTGTTGCTCGTTCTTTTGTTTTGCCCATTTCCGTCTAAGTCTAGGTTGCGTCGGTGTTTGAAAGGTACCCCTTTGGGTTGGTTCAAAAGAACGTGAAGGGAAACCACAAACTTTGAGGTCCCCATTAGGGTTGTCTCAAATAAGGCGAGCCCAAAAAATGGGTGGTTTACTGTTGGTTTCCCTTGAAAACCACCCAAAACCCTCCAAAATGCCACGCCCATTTTCAGGCAATCCCGCGACTCCATAACTGCTCCCTCCCCTCTCCTGGGTGACATCCTGCTTGTAAGCCGCCATGGTGCAGCTTCTGTCCTTCATCACCATGCAGTAGACGTAGTGGGTCACCACGTGCGCGTTCACCGCCATTTTCCCACCCCAAGCACCAGACGAGGCCGCCTGCAGCAAGTCCTGAGCTCGCCGGTCAAAGACATAACGGGGCTGTGAGTTCTGTTGAAGCGCCTTTTTTTGGGTTGGTTTCAAGAGAAACCAAAAGGACACCAACCATCTTGAGAGCCCAACTAACTATTCTAACCCAATGATGCAGCAATCAGCTGCCCCCAAATTGAGCGGTTTCCCATTGCCCCAAACCACCAAACATCACCAAACCAAACCAACAACAAATAAATGTCACTAATATGCACAAAGGCCTGATCCAGCCAACAAACAAGCCTGAAATAAGACATCCCCCAGCACGACGGGCTCGCTTTCCCCCTAGCTCGGATAGCCATTTAGATGTTGAACAAAGCAAAGGGAATCTGAGCGCGTGAGGCTCCTGGAAGAAAGTCTTCGGGCAAACCACAAGTGCTGGCCGTAGTAGTAGTAATAATAATAGTAGTAGTAAAAGTAGTAAATGTAGTAGTAGTAGTAGTAGTAGTAGTAGTAGTAGTAGTAGTAGTAGTAGTAGTAGTAGTAGTAGTAGTAAAAGTAGTAGTAGTAGTAGTAGTAGTAGTAGTAGTAGTAGTAGTAGTAGTAGTAGTAGTAGTAGTAGTAGTGAAGTATGGTTCGGAGGTATGATTCGTGGTATGGTTCAGGGGTAAGATTCGCACAGGTCGAACTTCCATCCTTTACTAAACCTTGCGCGCCCTAAAACGGCACACACCCTAAACGCTGCGGACTGCTTGACACAGTGCGAAAGTCAGGTTCTGCAAGCATAACGAATCAAGACTCCTTGCAAGCTCTGCCTAGACGAACAAAAGTGCTCCCTGCAAATGGCGGCTGCGACTGTGCACACAACGGCACAAACAGGCTACCTGGCAAGTAAACGTGCCGGCAAGCAACTTTCGTGGCTAGACGTGTCTTGCGGCAACAAGGGCTGAATGCCCAGAAGCATTTGGCAACACCGACTAGTGTATCAATCCAAGCACGCAACTGTTCAGTTGGAGCTGCGATTAACTCAGCCTTGGCCGCCCACAATTGATGCCTGGCGAAGGCGATTTCTTGTGCTAGGAGGGCTCCACAAGTCACGGTTCCCCTAGGACTCACTAAGGCCTGGGACAAACACTGAGGGTTCTTGATCCCAAGGCCTTGGTGGCTTGGACCACCGAAGACCTGATCTTGTCCTCTTTTCTTGCGAGGGCTGCAAGCACACAGGAGACCATGTCCGTTCCCGTGGGGCGTCGTGGCAAGGTTGTTATGTTCTTGTGGTCAGATGAGCCCCCGGTCCAGAGGGGGGATGAGCCAATGTAATGTTCATTGGGAAAGCCGGAACGGAAAACCTCAAGACGAAAGTGGCCGATGATGCAAGTGCAATGTTTGAGCATGTAGAACATCTCATTGCGCTTGAAAGGTCTTGGCTGTTCTTGGTAACTCTGGAGGCAGCGCTTCCCCTCGACGCAGGTGAGCAACTGGCACCTGTGGAAAAGGTACTTGAGATTCTGGTCCTCTGTCTGCGCTTTGCTGATGGCCAGCCCAATGTATACTATAGTACTGTGGGTACAAGTAGTAGAAGTAGTAGCACTAGTCGCAGTGGCAGTGTAGTAGTAGTAGTAGTAGTAGTAGTAGTAGCAGTAGTAGTAGTAGTAGTAGTAGTAGTAGTAGTAGTCCTAGTAGTAGGTGTAGTAGTAGTCCTAGTAGTAGTAGTAGTAGTAGTAGTAGTAGTAGTAGTAGTAGTAGTAGTAGTAGTGAAAGTACTACTACTAGTACTACTACTACTACTACTACTACTACTATTACTACTACTACTACTACTACTACTACTACTACTACTACTACTACTACTACTACTACTACTGCTATCACTACTACTACTACTGCTACTACTGGTAGTACTACTACTTCCACTACTGCCAGTACTGCTACAACCACTTTTACTACTACTTTCACTACTTTCACTACTTTCACTACTTTCACTAGTAGTAGTGGGTAGTGGTACCTGGCGTTGTGAAGGGGGGTATGGTTCGGGGTATGGTTCGGAGGTATGATTCGTGGTATGGTTCGGGTGTATGGTTCGCACACGTCGAACTTCCATCCTTTACTAAACCTTGCGCACCCATTTGGATTGAGTGGCCTTTTGCCAAAATGGATACGGACCAAACCACCTAGAATACAATGGTAACCTTTTGAAGCTACGACTAAACATGAATACAAGTACAAGGTTAACCTTTTCATGACAAAATATGAAACATCAAGGGAAAACCACAAGGTCAGCATTGGGCAAGTGAGAATATGAAAAAAACAAACAGCAGGCGGCCAACACGGCTCAAAGTGAAGGTTTGGCCTCCTTTTACCTGAGTGCTCAGAATCTATGGCCATGGATTTCATAGGAACCCCCTCAAAAGTGGTTGGTGCATGGACATGAATCCCCACCTAAATCCTACATGATGGTCCCTAATCCACAAACATGGCCATATTTTGTTCCAAGCGTCGAGGTCGGAACCGGTGTTGGGCCAGTAATGCTCGATGATGAGCGTCAGGCGCACGGCCGTAGGGGAGTAGCTGGGCGCAGAAAGCAGAGCAGCCTGAAGAGGGTTGGCGTGGCATAAACTTATATACCCTCTAAAGGGGCGTGTTTTCTCAAGGGTCACCAATTTGGGGGGGTCGACCCTATTTCAACACAAGCCCATGTTTGTTTTGTTTTGATTTTTTCGAGGGGATGGTTTCAATACGCCGTGCCGAAATTCGGGAACCCTAAAAACGAGCTTGGTTCCTTTTGGTGTCCCTTCAGAACCAGCCAAACCTCCACAGGAAAACACATACCCCGCCCCCCCGCCCCCCCCCCGCCCGCCCAACCCGGCGGCCTTGGCCGCTTTGCAGACCTCCGAGTCGTGCTTCACCTTGGGAAGGCAGTCCTCGGGCATCTCGGCCTAGCGGGCGCTCGAAAATGTGAAGCCCAGGTTCTGGTAGAGTAACTTGGTTGACGTTGGAAGGGGAGTAAAACACAAACAAACTTTGGCAAGTTCGGTTGCATTTCCCCACCAAACCACGCTACGCAAAAAGGCAAAATGCTTCCCAACAACTACTATGGTAAGGGGCCACTGTCCAACAAACCACCCGACTCCAAACCACCAAGTAGAAGAAAGCATGATACCTTGCTGGGTCGAGAGATGCAGGGAATGAGTTGGATGGAATGACCCCGAGAATAACCATCCAACCGATTGGTTTCCTTTAAAAAATATCTTCTGGTTCATGCCCAACACTCGGAGGTCATTCCCTGCAAAGCACCATTGGTTCAGGGAAACCTCATTCAGCCCTTCCGAAGCAAAAACATGGTTTGCTGGCAGTAAACCCAAAGGACATATCCCTCCAACTCATCCCTGATCGGATCCCTGAAAATTGAGGGGAAACCTAACGGTTGTTTGAAGATCATCAGCTCAGAACAAAATGTAGTAATATACTTTGCAATAAACATTGAGGACTACATTCCTTTTCGGGAACCTCCTGAACCCCGTCCATGATTGTTGGAAAAAGGGCCAAACAGCCAGACCTGCGCTTTAAAGGGAAAAGGAGGTTGTGTCGACAACACCAGTCCGTGCATGTGCATTCCATATATATTTTAAGAAGGCTTTCTTTGGGCTTCCCGATCAAATCCAAAAGGGTCAAATCGTTGGCCCTTCCGGCTCCGGGGCACTCTCAGCCACATGCCGTGGGAAAACAGCGACAGCTGTTCTACCGGGAAATGTCCGAAGCCTGGCCTTCTGGTAGGTGATCACCCCCTGGTCGATGACCAAATCTGCCAAGCGGAACTGGCCCAAGGACACGTCGTCGCGAATGGGGCGGATGGCCCCCGGGTGCAGGAAATTCGCCTTTTCGCTGCAGGCCAAGCGCCCAAGAAACAACACGACAAAACGGAGAACAGTTGACCAAATCCGGCAGGTATCCTCTACGCCATGAAGTGCAACTTATAACTTCGGAGACCAAAGGGCTACCCTTTGCTTTGGATTGATTTGGGGGGCTCCTTCCCAGTTATCCACAAGAACCAAATTTGAACACTGGAAAATCCGCTGACTTCTCGAGCGGCGAATTGGATCCACCACAAGATGGTGTTGGAGGTGCCGATGTGCACCACCCACCTTCCCTGCAGGCAGCCCAGCGCGCCGGGGGTCTCCCAAAGAGCGTAACGGCATCCAGCGTCCAGCTGCAGTTGGTTCTGGGGGAAGGTTCCACGCATGGGCGGGGCAGCCACCTGGCTGCGGATCGATGCCAAGTCGAGGCCAACGGGGAGGAGAGTGGGCGCGAGGCTCCGGAAAAATATTGCTGTTCCGAGAGAGTTACGCGTCAATCCTTCCCAACGTACCGAATCCTGTTTCAGAATAACCAAAACCTGGTCCTCCGTGTGCTTGAGTCTGCGAAACAAGCAAACATGTGTACAGTAATGATAAATTCCCTTTGATACCAATGCAGCAGAAAACATATAATGTTCTTCAAGCAAATGGTACTAAAGGAGTCCGCCCAAAATAAGAAAACAAAAGAGGCAGCCGGGGCAGTTTGCGGCTGGGACATCCATCTCCAACCTTCATCAACCCGCTCGTTTGCGCGCATTTAGCGTAGTCTCCCCCGGAAATTGCTTTGTTGCCCTTCCTTTCAACAACGGCACTCCCCCCGCCCCCGTTTTTGGGGAAGCCCCCCAACTGCTTTGGCCCACTTGCGGACATCCCCCCAAAAAATTGGGCAGCACCTGGCACCCGCGAACTCCTCTTGGACCGCACGTGGGAGAACACACGTTCCCGCCCGTCCGCAAACGAGCGCCTTGGCGTCGCAAATGGGCACGGCGGAGGTGTCGGCCTTGATGGCAGGACGCCGCGTCACCGCCACCGCGAAGCCGCTGGAGCGCTTCTGCCAGGCCTTCCAATTCTTGGTGGCTCCCAGCCATCCCCTTAGCTTTTTAGCCTTCTAGTGTTTAGCGGTAGTTTCCATTTATCCACTAAAAGCCAAACTTTTAGCCAGGGATCGGCCAGCCCAGAATTACTTCCCCAACCGAAAAGACACAAAAAAAGTTGGTTGAGCCGAAACAAAGTTCGCGTGAAACAAAATACCCTGAAGAAGCTCACTTGAGCCAAAAGGGAAACATACCCAGCTAGTCAAAAGGACGAAAAGACAACTTTTTCGGCAACTGACTTGAGCCGATTAAAATAACAGTTAAACAAGACCCTAACAACATGCCCCTTACGTTGACATATGCAGCGGGGTTAATGTAAACAACTCAGTTGCCCAAAGTGCCTGGTAAGTAGAAAGGTTACCCTTTTGCAGCCTTGCCCAGTGAAACCATTTCCCAGTATAGTTGGTAACCAAGGGCTTGCCACCCTTGAGAAACCAAAAGGAACCTTTGTTGGTTTCCTGCTGCAGTGGCTTTCCTGAGATGCACTGGTTGCAGGCAAAAAGTAGACCAGGGGATGAAGATTCGCTTAGGCCCGTCACCAAGAGCCCTGGCTGATCCTTCGAGTGATTCCCTAAGCACAAGGAATGAGTTGGGGTCGTGTTTTAAAAATTATTCCCATGACCAAAGCCAAGGTGCCACCTAAAGCCATCCCACCATGAAATGGCCATGGGTCATAACCTATGCCTCCATTTTGGGGCGGATAAACACCCACGTACCACCTGTTTGATGTTCACCAGGGGTTTCCTGGGTTTCGACCCACCGCCAAATTCAACTGGCCCTTCTTGGATCACCATCTTTCTCTTGGTAAAAAAGGCCGCGTGCACCTCCATGTTTGGGAGGGTAAGAGGTTTTGTCCAATGGGAGGCATATATGGCTGTGGGTCAAAAATGCGTAACCAAAATGGAACCCTGATAAATGGAAGCAAAGACTCAAACCTGCGGTCTCCCGGTGGGTTTATTTTGACCCATACCCATAAAACCCTGTCGGGCCATTTCTGGTTTCGAATGCTCACACATTGCTAGATGCTGGTTTAGTCGGAGTGCCTTAAACACCGATTGGGGTCAACAGTTGTAGATGGCTTGGTCATTGTCTCCTGCAAAGTGCTTGAATATTTGCTAGTTGGTGGGGAAACAGCAATTCTGCCAAAAAAGGTTCAACAGAAGTTCAGTCGAACCAAAGCGCAACCAGGCTTGACACATTCTGTATCCATGGCCAAACCCAAACTCTGCCAGCGGGTCATGCTGGCGCATCCCTCCCTCGGGGCTGATGAATATCCATCCCAAACCCCAAAGAGCTTCTGACCGTCTGTGAACGTATCAACACGAGCTGGGTATGTGTCTCAAATAGGGAACTCACAAAATGATAGCTTTCCTTTTGATGTCCCTTTAGAACCCACACAAAAGGAGTGCCCTCCACAAAACCAAACCAACCGGTTTTCGCTTGAACCAGCCAGAGAGGATCCAACCCGTTGCCACAGCGATTTTCTCACGGCGAGCGACCGAACAAATGAGCCCGAAACGATCGACATGAGTTCACCATGTTCCAAGTCCCTGGTAAGCTGAAAGCAATCAAACCCAGTTTCCGATTTGGACAATCCAAGTCTTGACCGCATGGTCAGCTCAACTAAACAGCAATAACAACAAACAAATATGGCTGGTTCCCACAACACAACGCACGATTGGCTTCCAATCTGGATGCCTAACTTGGAACGAGTCCACACATCCAACTGAAACCTCCCCGACAGAAAACGGGAACCCGTTGTGGGGTCGACCGTTTTTCGCGGGCAACCGCCAAACAAAAGAGCGACTCGGAGGGTGCCGCTCTTGCTCAATGACCAAGAAGGCTAGGTTTGTCAATCTTTCTACCATCATTTGGGTGTGAGTCGAAAATAGATACCCGTGCATGGAAACAATGACCAAAACCTCCGGTTTCCTGGTTGCTTAATTTTGACCCATACCTATTTTAGTCGGGGGCACAGATGTCTCAAACCAGACTCGCCCACTCTCGAGCTCCGCCTCGGCGAGAGCAGTACCTCACCCGAAGAATTGATTCATGTGGCACAGGTCGGAGGTCGGTCATGTTGACCCAGGATCAATAAACCCGTCCCAGGGTTTAGGGGGGTGGGGACCCCTGCAAAGGTGGTCTGAATCCAACCACTAAAAGGGGACACCCCCCAATCAAAATCAACCAGGGGTTGATTAATCCGGGGTTAACATTACCATTCTCAAAACGACCCCAGCACGGTGGGGACCTCAAACAAGGTGGCTCAATCATAAAATTCCAACCCCTACCACCTTCCCCTGGTCTCCCAACCAAAGCAGTTTGCAGAACCCCTCAACATGCAAACACGAAAAGATGGAGCTAGTATGTCACCTCCGAAAAAGGAGTACTGGCCAAAACAGTTGGACCAATCGCTTGGGAAGGGACCATCTTGTCCGGTTCCATCCTAATTTGCATGGGAGGACTGGCTTGGTCAAAACCGATTTCCAGCGGTTGAGACCCACACACAGACACATACACACACAGACACACACTCACACACACTCACGCACACTCACACACAGACACACACATAGCCACGCACGTGCCTGCATCAAGCAAAGGCGGCCAAGGCACCATTCTTGCGCCCGATCAGGGCATAAGCATCACGGAAACCAAGAGAGTCGATCATGGTTCCACCGCAGCTCTTGATCGCAGCCTAAGCAATGGCTCAGGGGTCTGGATGTGCTGCTTGACAAACAAGCACACACACGCCACGTTTTGTTGTAGTTTGGAGAAGGGCAACAAACAGAGAAATACCTTCAACCTACCCTGAACCTGATGCTGCGAGTGGCCTTGGCACCCGCAGACAGCTTGATGCTTCCCTCGTCCCGAACACCCATCAGAATCAGGTCCGATGATGGCTCCAATGCGTTCAAGAACGCCTCCAACTCATCGGAACCTCAGGCCCAAATCAAAGTCTCTCAGAGTCACCTTTTCGGCCAGGCATACCTCCAAGAGGACACCTGCACTTTTAGGGCACTCTTCATTTAGGTTTAACATGTCGGCGTGGGCCGTTCTGTGTCAATGTGCAGCAGAAAGGTCGCAATAGTCCTGCCCCAAAGCCCAAGCGTCACGCACCCTGCTTGGAAACCTCCAGTCTGCCCCAAAACCAACCTCAGAATCGGCAGATTGACCCCGCCACTGGACAAAGATGGGTCTTGGGGCCTGAAAACACAGCGGCCGCATAAGCAAAACGCGTGTTTGAGGATTCTTCATTGATTGGGATTGTTCTACGTTTCTACTCGCGCTTGCTGTTATCGTCCAAGCTCCGGCAAAGATGTTTTCATGAAAACTGACCCTGATCAGCCTAGGGCCTGTTCAATCCGACCGTGTATGTATATACATTAATCTGTGAAAAGTAATGTCATATTTCTGCATGAGGGTCCGGAGAAGCCTCAGCTCAGTCAAGCCGCCTTCCTCGGTGAGGGTGTCGAACGTGTTGTAGCTTTTTGCCCGAAGATCTGCCTGGAGCACAACCACCGTGATGCCGCGCGAGCGTGCGGCGAACACGGAAGTCCCAGCAGCGAAGAACACAGCCTGGTTCCCGTCGTCATAGCCTACGCTACGCTTGCGAGGCTGCAAACAGCGCGCACCATATGGAGATGAATGATAATTAGGGACAATTTTGTGGACATTGTTCAGGTTCGAATTCATGTTGTCCACCAACCAGTTTTGAGGTGGTGCCCCATTACAATTCACAGCCATACGAGTCATGGTCAAAGTTTCTTTTCTTCCTTTTGCGTTCCGCTTGCGACGAATTTCATTGGTCGTTAAGTCATTTCAATGGTTGAGCTCCCGGCCGCAACTCTAAACCCCGTACTTGAGAGGTTGCACCCTAGCAATGGAATTCTGGGCGACGTGACGGACGTCAGCTCAATATTGCTCAGTCAAGCAGAGTTTCTCCCGTGGTTCACAGTGATGTCGAATGACCTCACTCCCAGTAGAGTACAAGGTGCTTGCCCGATTGAACTCCGGCGAAGCTAGACACTCTCTTCCCCACACGACCAACAAACTCTGGCAGAGCTAGACCACTTCCGTACGGCTACCCAACTACCCACCACAGTCAATCACTTGCAACACTGCTGGTCGCACAAATGTGTCTGCGTTGGTAAGTCTTATAACCGCCTGAGTGCCTGGGCACAGAGTGACACTCACACACTCTCCACGCATGACTGGCATCACCCGTCGCGCGATCAACCGTTTGACCAATATTGATATTACATTTTGCCAATGCATCTATTGGCGAGCACCTGGGCTCAGTGTACGGAAATCTGGCCTTGCTGGGCACCATGCAGAACCAGGTCTTCTTTAGCCAGAAGCAGAATGAGAAACTCGTGAGCTGGATCAAGCTAGCCGTCGATTGCTCTGCACGACTTGAGCCAACTCCTGGAACTGCTGATTCAAGGCTGCCGAAGGCATGGGAGGGATTCCCGAAATGTCCGCAACTCTGGATGGGCGACGCAAGCTGCCCAACTCCCGCCAGGGCAACCCGCATTTTTTTTGACCCAAAGTCAATGCTGGGATTCAATCCGCACCAAAGCGCAGCTTGAGCAGGGCGCGGGCGCCTCGCAACTTCTGTGATACCATCTGACTGAACGCCAAGCGGAACCAAAAACAGCACGCAGGCCTTGTTTGCGCAGCCAGCCTCTCATGTGCGCAGGGGTACACTTGATTTCCCCAGCTATGCAATACAGTTGCGAGCTGCTGATGGGCAGCTTCCGCCACGCTCAAGGAAAAATGCGCTCCTCACATTGGGTCAGGATCAGCTGCTTGAGCTCCGCCTGTGGCCATGGCTTGATGTGAGGCATAACGGATATTGGCGTATTGCATGACACACCACCATCGACGCCTGCGGCTGCACCACGCCCTGTGAAGATGCAACTCCGTCTGACGCTCAACATGGCCTCGCTGTCTGGTGTGCTGGGTGATGAGCTCCTGTGCCCACTGATTGTGGATTTGCGGCACACACTCCAAGACCAGGACGTCTACTTGCAGAAGCACACCTAGGTTGAGAACAGCCGGCAGCGTGCTAGCTCTCTCATCATGTTCCTGCTGACGGTCTCCGAGCCGGGAATACGGCTGGCACGACACTCCTGCGCACAGCGTGCCTGCGCCAAATCGCAGGTTAACCAGCTCTGAACCATTGGGTCACAGATATCCCCGCGAATGATGGGTGGCGGCGCATTCTTATGCAGAATATCCACAAAAGGCTGCTTCCACTCGTTCATGGCAACCGTCTGCCATCCGGACCCCGATGCCAACTCCAGTAACTCCAGCTGTCACCAGGCTTTTGTCAGGTCACAATGCAAGTAGAATCGGCCTCAAACATTTCCAGGGTCAGCTTAGCTGTCCGAATGTCTCAGCCGGCTCACCTGATCAGAAAGTTGTGCCAACAAAGGCACCTTTGCAAAGGTGCGTCAATTCTCCCCGCTATCAGCGGCGGACTTCCGCGACAACAGCCAGATGAGATCAAACGATGAAAGCCCCCCCGCTTTCTTCAACAGCCGGCTGCGCTTGCGCGCCTGCGCAAATGCATGCTGGCCCGACGAAAGACCAAGAAAGAAAGTACTCGAGCTGGCGTGTGGGTTAGGTCACACAAAGTGTGCTTATGCAAATAGCAAACCTCAGCTGGACAGGCCTCATTCTCAATCTCTCGGGTGGCATCCTTCAACTGTTTCTTGAGGACCAAGCGGGCGGCGCGCAAACCACAAGTGGATCGACTGGAGGCCTGCCACCTTCGGTCTCCGGATTTGGCACGGGTCTGTCTGCAGGTGTGTCGGCCATGGCGCACACTGAAAAAGGCTTTGCAAAAACGAGGAAGAACAAAAGCACGCCAAGCCGAGCTTGAGCCCAAAACACACTCAGGCCGCGAATAGCGGTCACAGGGTTCACTCTCAAGGCCGAAAAAACGCAGCGTTTCAAGCTTCAGGCCTGTGGGCCCTCCAGTGCTTCAAAATTATTTTGGGCACTGCCTGCGGCCGTGTCCAGACAGTGACTAAAACAGGCTCCTGTAGGCATAGCTCATTCTGCGCCGCTTTGGCCAGATCACACTTAGCTCCGCTGCACAGCAATCAACCAGCTGAAGCAGCTGCTGCACAGTGCAGAGCTTCACCTCATGAGCAGTGCTGTCCTCCTCCCGGCCCAAAATTGTCCAGGCGCCTTCCTCCTCCTGTACTTACCGGATGAGCACCAAGTCCTTGCACGACAGCTCAAGGAGGCGGAGGATCTTGACCAGCTGGGACCCGATCCGGCCTATGTGAAGGCCCGGGCCCAGCACCACCACTGTCTCCACGACCATGTTGACAGTGACATGGCTACCGCCCAAGCTATGCTGACACAGCCTAGCCGGCTGGTAGGCGCTTGGGCCAAGGCTGGTCAAAACTCCTTATGTGGGGCATGGTGTTCGGTCGCCTAAACAAAAAGGAACCCCTTAATTACAATGTTCGTCTACATTACTTCAGGATTGAGCAGCCATGACCATCCCTAGCATTCCCAAGCAAAGGCCGGTGGGCATATTATGTCACATGCTTGCTGCACCACTTTGCTAAGCGTCACCAAAAATCTGCCACGCCGTCAAAGCATTTATCAGGGAGTTGTGCAATTAAATACCTGTTGGCACCCAGGACATGCCCGTTCATTCTGCTTGCTAAGATGCTATGAAAGGGAGAACATGCATTTTAGGTCGCCCACTCGAAGATAAGCCCACTTGGTCCAGCCTGCGCTTTGTACTCCAACGTCCACGGATTCGTCGTTGGCTGTGCAGCAGGCGTCGGCGTCGCTGCCAGGGGATGACAGCAGCTCGGGATCAAGCACGGAACCCACGGGACAAAGGAAGAGACCGCAGGGGGCCAAGGTCGTTGTCGTCGTCGTCGCACCTCAAAGGATGAGATTGCAAGTACTTGGCGCTCTTTTGAAGGGACAGCACAAAAGGATTCGGGGTGGATTTGGAGGAACACTCACTTGCCATATGCCTTCTCAACCGCCTCCCCTACTGTTCTGCACAATTCCTGCCTGTGCCGGCGGCAGAAGTCGTGGTGGCAGGGCTCGTGGCGGCGCTCGTTGTCTCGGCGTCAAGGCTCGTCGTGGCAGTGGCGCTTGAGGTGTATGACACCGCCGCAGGACCAGCATCGTTCTGCCGGTATGCCTCTGCCACAGACGGCCCGCCTGTGAGACAAACGAGAGCCCAGGAGTCTTGGAACCCAAGATCCCCGAACTGTGTGCCACCACAGGCAGCAACAGCATCTTTGGCTTCTGTTGTCAAAGCTGCCGACGCGTCACTCCGCACTGCGATTGCCACCAAAGTGCCGTCTGCCAAGCCGTTCATGAAGGTGGCAAACGCTGCAGATTCGCTTGCGCTGGTGTAGGTGTCGAAAACGCGGAAGTCCTGCATCACCCCCGTCTTCTCGAGCACCACAACGTTCAAGCCCCGTCCAGTGGTCAGGGGCAAGGTTTCTCCATTGACCTCAAAAGTAGCAAAACTCCCGGCCTTGAAGCCCGCGCTGGTCACAGTGAGGCTGATAGATGCGCCCTGCAAAGCAGCAATTTCAGGAGCGTACAGTGCTGTGGTCACGACGGGACCAGCATCACGCAGCTGAAATCCTTCTGACAATGAGGAGCCGCCTTTGAGACAAACGAGAGCCCAGGAGTCTTGGAACCCAAGATCCCCGAACTGTGTGCCACCACAGGCAGCAACGGCATGTTTGGCTTCTGTTGTCAAAGCTGAAGACGCGTCACTCCTCACTGCGATTGCCACCAAAGTGCCGTCTGGCAAGCCGTTCATGAAGGTGGCAAACGCTGCAGATTCGCTTGTGCTGGTGTAGGTGTCGAAAACGCGGAAGTCCTGCATCACCCCCGTCTTCTCGAGCACCACAACGTTCAAGCCCCGTCCACTGGTCAGGGGCAAGGTTTCTCCATTGACCTCAAAAGTAGCAAAACTCCCGGAATTGAAGCCCGCGCTGGTCACAGTGATGTTCACTGCGCTGCTGGCGCGCCGGTCGGCGCTTGCTTGAAAGCTCCCCGCCGCAAACGGCGTGAGGAAGACGATGAAGCTGATGATCCAGTTCATGTCTGGGGAGCAATTCGACGTGTTGGTTTGAGCTGATCAATGCGCTCCCCATGCAAAGGTCACATACAGCGCACAAGCTCGAGGACAAGGCACCTGCAACAACCCGTGTGAAGGGACCAACCAAAAGAAACGCGGCCCCCCCTTCCCCCCCGAGATGAAAAAAGAAGAAGTGGCAGAGACGGCGCTTTTCTCCGCGGTGCGTCGCGAGCGCTCGAGCCACCCGCGAGACCTCTCCTCTCAACGCCCTCACCGCGCAATCTTCAGCGCATCAAGGGCCTCGGGCGAGAGAAAATCTGACCGCTAGATGGCTGTGGGTTAAAATGTAACCTGTTCATTTTGTTCGGGGTGGTTACCGTTGTTTTGTGGTGTTCCCCCGTATGAAGCATATCAAAAAGTGCTACCACAACTCCAAAAAAGAAACCCCCAACTGGGTATGGGTCAAAATTCTAGCAACAGGAATTGGACCGCAGGTTTTAGTCCTTGGTTCCATTTACCAGGCTAACCCTTTTTGGGGTTACCCCATCTTTGACCCACAGCCATATGGCTTGGGGTTTTACACAAAGTGCTCCAGGCCCTTCTTTCTGAAGGGAGACTTAAACTGATGTTGAAACCATGGACCGGGCTAAAACATTCAACAATGGGTCGGCGGACACGAAAGGCTGTTCAAAGTTGATCCCAGGATGATAAAACTCTCTCTTGGTCTGGCTGACACCTGACGTCTCCCAGCAAGGCCATGTTCATTCCAAATGGCCATCTGATCGCACACAGTGGATCTGTATGTTATAAGGTATTTATATATATATATATGTGTATGTACATATCGATGTGTAAGTATGCGTGTATCTATTTGCATCTAACAAGCAGGGCCTAATTCCGCCAAGCTCAACAAGAAATCAACCGGCAACGCCCCCCTGCTACGAAGGGCCGATACGAGCTTAAGGAGATATATAAGGAGATCCATAGATATCCGCTGGATGAGCTCCCGCTTTGCTTCTCCCATCGTTCACCTGATCACGATTTGCCGTCTGATTAACTTTCAAGACCCCACATCACGGGCGACTTGTTGATCAAGTCACGTCGGCATTCCTCGGGTTGGGGTGCCCCCTGTTCTTTCACCGGGGCCACTTGTTGGGATCCGATCAACAACCAATGGAATGCTCCAGGCCCGGTTCATGGTTAACCCGCCGGTCGACCCAACCTGCGGCCAATGGGAATCCGGGAAAAGGGCACTTTAGACAATAGAGCATCAGAACCATAGGCGTCCTTTTGGAAAAATAGAGGGCCCTGGTAAATGGAATAAAACCCATCTAAACCAGCGCCTGACAAAGTTTTAACCACACTAACCTAAAAGGGACACCTATCACAACTTCAATCCCACGGTTGGCAACACCAACGACCTCCAGTGAGCCACCCGCGCCCGCCTGCTCGAGGGATTGGATCTCCGCGTCCCTCTTGGCCTTGCGCTCCTGCGCGGGGGTGAGAGAGGAGATGTGGATGGACGAAACCCACCACTTTGAAACCGCGGGAACCATTGTTTGTTGGCATTTGCAGAAAAATCATCATTCCAGGGTTTCCTTTGAAAAACACCAAACACAACCAATCCAAGGTTGCCTGAGCTCGCTTCTGGAGTGCATTGGTCAGAAACAACTCCGAACTGGTTGTTTACCACTCGAATTCGGTCAAAGTCCGAAACAGAACTGGAAGTGAGTGAGTAATTATGCAGTCCACCTAAGCAAAAGAACACAGTCTTGAATTCAGTTCCTTTTGAAATCAAATGAGGTAAGGTAGCCACCAATGTCCAAACCAAGCGACCACTTCTGCGATACAACAAAATGGCCTCTCAAAGACTAAACCCACCCACCCGATAAGAGGGGATCCCAACTTGTATCACAGAAGTGGTTGGATACACTGCGAGTGATCCACGACAACCCCGAATTTTCGGGGGAAGCTGGTCAACCCCCGACAAGAAACTCGCAGACATCGCTGGGCTGTCCTCAAATCCCCCGCTCAAAGTGACTAACTTTTAGCTGGGTCAAATATGGAAATCCAACCACTAAACAAAAAAAGCACCTCAAGAGCTTCTGAACCGGATGGCTGGGAACCCTTGGTTTTAACGGGAAACCACGACCACGGACCGAGGGGATGGCAACGGGTTCCCACCATCGGTCGAAAAACCGAGCGGCCGGCGCCTGATAGCTCGCGCCGCTGTCCGCGCACTGCGGCTTCAGCTTCTCGAAGACCTTCGTGGCCGCCTCCAGGCCCTGGCGCGACGCGGGGGCGGGGGTCAGGCCCTGACGCGGGAGGAGACCTGGCTCCATGGAGGCGAGCTCAGCCAGACGCTGGCATGTAAGCCAAAGAGGGACTAGGAAACTATGCCATGCCTTCTGACCTGCCTAGAATAAGCCAAGTTGCGATCGCGTTTTCCAGTCACTGTGGCTGGTGTTTGGGGGAAAGTGGAGAGAAAAAAGGCAGCAACTGGCGATCCAGGTGGTTCCATCTACAGTGGCTTGGGGGAGCTTCCAGGTTTTTGATGGAAACGTCCAGTACCTTGGGGAAATCTCCGAGAATCACACCTGGACCCTCAAGCTAGTTTCTGGGTATTTGGTTGAGGGCTCAGGTATTTGCAGACCCTGTTCCATATCTCGTCAACCTAATATGAAATCGTTTGGGAGGAGACTTCAAGTACCCAGACCACTACCCTCACGACAAAACGTTCGGTGTGCCCTTGATATATAGCAGCTGAAGTGGTTGTATGTCCAGCTTAACCCCTGGGCATATTGGGTTTGGGTAGTGGAAATGATTCGGCGCTATAGCAAGAGGAGCCACGGAATGGTCAAGGCCCTGAGCGCATTATGACCCCAAATCGTCACTACTGGTCACCAAGAGCCGCGGGAGACTGCAATGGCTCCCCTCGCTATGGCTCTGAATCTCTCCATATTTGACACACTGGTAGATGTGTGATTCTTAGAATAACCAATTTATCAATCTGTGCCTCCGCCCTCGGGCACACGACATGGCCCTATACGGCACACATGATTCCAAAGAAATACAGAAATATAAGGGGTTGTGCTTTGAAGGGTCCCCCCCTTGTGGGTTTGCTTTGTATGCAACCAAAAGGAAAATCACTTTGTTGAGAGGCGCGATTCAAGTGTACCCTGAGCTGTATTTGCATTTTGAGCGCCCACAATGCGAACCCATATAATTCTGGTTGATTGTTAGGAGGTGTCCCAGCTCAGAGCGCCTCTGGAACACTTCTCGTGGCATTACCTGGAAATAGCCCCCTATATCAATCACTAATGAAATCCAACTCTGTACTTTTGGTGTTCCCACCCTTCTCTTAATCCACACGGTTCACTCCAGAAAGAAAAACACACAAAAAGCAGTTGGACCGACCACAGGCAAATCCGAGATCGTGCCTATCCGTTCTCAAATTCTCGGGATTTTCTCGATGATGGTTCCTATTACTATTTATAAACCCCTGCTTGATTTGGTGGTGTCCACTTTAATGAGAGTTTTGGAGGGACCCCAACTGCGCTTTTTCATAGGAGTCCCTTTTGCGGGGGGAAGGGGGGGTTCATTAATTCTGTTGGGCCGCGCTGTTTGTTCATAGGACATAGAGCGTCCCCTTCAAAGGGGGGAGGGGGGGGGGGGGGCGGGGGTCATCACTTTTGGAGGGGCCATAAGGCCATGGGTCAAAATCCCGTACCCAAATCCCAATCCCCGCTAAAAAAGGTTCTAAAATGACTGGTGAATTCACCTACCAACCAAACTGGGATCCCATTGGTTTTGATAACCACAGCCATACAACGAGTTGACGTCTGGTGAATTTACCTACCAACCAAAATCGGATCCCGTAACGGTTTTGACAACCACAGCCATAAAAACGAGTTTCTCGAGTCCGATCCCTCCGCCTCCTGAGCTGCTGCCTGGTCAGCCTTCACCGTGCTGAGCTTCTGCGTCTCCGCCTCCTTGCGGCTGCTCGTGTGCGCCACGTCCTTCTCCTCAACGAGACGCGGAGATGCGCGGCGAAGAAGGGAAGGGGTTGCCACGAAGCCGAGGAGGCCATGGGAAATCGATCCAAGGCAAGTGCTGCTTCGCCTAATAAGCATTTTCCCCAAAAAAAAACTGAAGAGGGGCTTCAAAAATCCGAGATCCAAGCGTAGTGGAGGGCTACTAATTAGTACCTCATGACTCCTTCGGTGCTACTTCTGACTCCACAAATTTAAGCCCATCCGCTGGCTGGCTCGAGCGAGCGAAAAGTCCATCCGCCGTCCGCCGTCCTTGGCGGCGACGTCCAGCTTGCTGTCCTCCATAAAGGAGTCGTACTCCTGCGGCTTTAGTGGTGGGCCCCCCCAGTGCAGCCACAAACGTGTGGATACGGCGACAAGGATCCCGCACACACCAAGCCCCCAACCAAAAAACAAAGACCGCAAGAAACAGGTTGCCCTCCTTCCCCCCCCAACGAAAAAGAAACGAACCAAACCCTCCCACCCTTTCCCCGCCCCCAGCAGAACATATCTCACTTCCTGAAAGCATTTTGGCTAGAAAAAGAGCGATTAACTTTCTGTTTACAACCAAAAAGTGGTCTTCCCAAAAGTTTCTCAACTGCAGGAGCCTCTGAGAAAGTGAGACACAGACCCCAGCCCATGCCCTCCTGGATGGACAAACTCCTGCACCACTTTGAATCCATGGCTGTTACAGGGGAACCGGAAATCGAATCGTTCCATTGCATTTTTTTGGGGTGCTGCGACATGGATCTAGCAACCATCCGCAGCTGTTGACCCGCTCAAAACCCTCGCCTTGGCCGCCGCGTTTTCCGCGCTGCTGGTCTCCGCCTCCAGCCGCGCGAAGTCGCCCTGGATCACCTGCCAGCTGTTCAGGGTCGGCCCCGCAACGCCCATCGGGTTACGGCCCTGGCTATGGCTCAAACAACCGGAATTCCAAAATGGGTTGCCCTGGTAAATGGACACATGGACCAAAACCTGCGGTTTGCCCCCCCCCGATTAATTTTGAGCCACACCCAAATGTGGCCAGTAGTGATAAATTATTATTTGTTTAAACCAGCCAGGGAAAATAACAATATTCTCAAGCAAATGGAGGGCAAGGCTTGGTCGCCAAGATGGTTCCCTTCAAGATCAACAGCTGCTGTGGATGGACGAAATCCATTTCGCACCACGGCAAAAAACTGGAACGATGATTCCCCTGCAAACAACATGATTCCCCTGCAAATACCAACAAACAGTGGTGTCCCATTTCGTCCATCCACAGTATGAGCGCGTTCTGCGGCTTTGGGTGGAGGTCGACTCAACTTCCGGGCGAGTGGTTGGAAAGTGGAGCTCTCCACGCGGGAGCAGTGCGTCACCACAAGGTAAAGCGCGAGGTGAACGGGCGTCAGCACTAGTGGCGCGAGGGGCATGCCGCTGCCCTCATGGAGACCCTTGACGAGCTGAATGCCCAACACACTCTCCAGATCAACAAGAAGGCGAAGGAGCCAAGTGGAAGGCTTGCCACCTTAGGACGAGGTTGCCGACAGCAAGGATAAAAAAGGGGCCCTTGTCCGACCAAAATTTGGGCCATCGGGACTGTTAAGAATCCCTTAATAACCAAAACTCCGCCCGATGTCTCTCCACCATACCCCGGCCCCTCCCCCCCTCCCCCCCTCCTTCCCCCCTGGTGCCTCGATCATGCCGATCACGCCGCCGCTCTCGGAGCCCATGCCCTCAACGAGTCGGTTTGGGCGTTCCTTTGGAACTAAATTCAAAGCAATCGATGCTTCCCTTTTGCCCAAACGCTCCTGGGGCTTCCAATGGAAGACCCAGACCCTCCATTGGACACCCCAGAGGGGGTTTGGGGTCTCAAAACCTGGCCGTTTGAAAGGCCCAAAATCAATCGAATTGGAGCGTCTGGGTGGAAAGCATTGGAAACACTTGCGGGCTATGTTGCACCCGAACGTGCTGATCCTTGAGGCCTCCTTAGGCGACAGCAGGTACACCTTTTGTTGCGATTTGCATCTTTGAGTCCCACAATGGGCATGCTCCGTTTGGAAAGCAAACTGAGATCGGCGATTTGGCGGGACACGACACACCACAAGTGCTGGAAGGTTCACGATTGGGCTTCGATGTTTAGACGTCCCCCTTGCGCCCAAACCGCCACACCAAGATGGCTGAGGAATAAAAGTGCACCGTAGCCCCAGTTTGTTCAAACAACAAATCAAAATCTGTCCTAGTTCCTTTTGAGCCACCCCAACAAGCCACATATGTTCTGCTGTTTCTTTCACATATCTGCCAAGCTTCCACATCTTGGCAACTTACCCGTGAGCTCGCTCCTTCTTGCATCACTCGTCATGCGGATCCCAGTTGAAACGCACAAGTCGTAAACATAGCACACGAAAATTAGCCCTAGTTACCCTCAAAAAGGTCGGTCCCCCCCCAAAAAAAAAATAAACAACAAAAAAAAGATTCCTTCACAAACTCATCGAGTTGTTCGGGGCCATTGCTGCTGGTCGGACTGTGCTTGTCAGGAACTCAAGCGTAACCGACCCCTCTGACAAACCTTCCTTGACAAGAATGGGTCAACAAAGTGACCCTGTTGAACAATCCTGGCAAACACAGGATGCTGACATATCTCACGTATTCCTTTCAGGATGTTCGGGAGGTTCTCGCAAATCTTGCACCAGCACCTTTCAACAGACCTCACATAGGCGTATGCATCTTTGGGCTCTTTGGTGGATCAGTTGGGCCAAGGGGGGATGGCACCCACTCAAAAAATGCGATGATGTTGGTGATTGGCCAAAAGGTGATGGTCCAAGGGTACCTGCCAAAGATGCTCACATGTGTGACATAGGTGTCTGCTTGGTTGCAAATGGATGGCCCTAGTCAACCAGGAAACGCCATCTATTGTCTACCGGGATCTGCGGATTGTACTATGGATCCAAAAGCTGATTTAAGAATTGGATCCCTAAACCAAGGACCTTTATGATGGCTTTCGCTGGTACCCCCGAATCCTTCAGCTCGCGTCATAGAATCGGCAGATAAATGGATAATTCAGGTTAGCACAAGGGTACCCTTTTTCCTGTAGTCTATTTTAGTAGGGGAACCCTCCCCCAAAAAAGGGTAAAGGGGCACTACTGCGGGACCTAGGTACCACCTTCAACAAAGAAACACGAGCCACCCATTTCCTAGCACCAAAAAAGGGCCCGCCATGGGATGCTGAGGTCCGGGACCTCCCGCCTGGTAGGGCGTGGCCCCGAAGGGGCTGGGCTGCTTCTCGGAGCCCTGCACCAGAGCAGTGGCCTCGCCCGCCTTGGCGTAGAACTCCTCGCGGTCGAGGCCAGGTTTTTTGGGGGGATTCCTTGGGCGGGGTTGAGGGCTGGGGAGGAATATGGAGGAACCCTTAGCTGAGCTGTCCTCAGATCCCCCCGCTAAAAGCTTAACTTTGAGTGCTAAAAAGCCAAGGGGATGGCTGGGAACAACCAAGTCAAATAGAAACCAGGTGCCTTTCAAGGCGAGTCCCCCTGTTCTGAGGATGAATCCTTAAATGGAAACCACCCCTGGGGTCCATTGGTTGAGGGAATCCAACTGGAAACCACCCCTTCATGTCCCAGGGTTGAGGAAATCCATTGCTGAGTCCCCCTGTTTCTGATCCAAATGGAAACCACCGTTTAGCAAAGTCACCCCATGGGTTCAGGGAATCCTCAAATGGAAACCATGCACCTTCCTTTCAAGGTGAGACTTGTCCATCTCACAAAACCCACTTCAAGTACTGTACAGGGCTTCGTCCATCCCTACTGGTGCATGGGGTGCTCCAAACGGAGTGTTGGCCAATCCGAATCCATGATCCCTATTGGAAAACCAATACGTACCCCCAGGATCTAAAGCAATACGTATGCTGTTCAAACCAGACGAGTGTTTCCTACAAATCTTTGGGGGGTCGATTCCCCCCCTTCCCTTCATCAACCACAGGCTGCCATCTCCAAACGCGACCCACAAACCGGACACACCCCATACGCCCTCCCTCCCCCCCCCCCCCCGCAAAGAAAAATATACACGTTTTTTGATTCTGGCCCAGTTTCCTAAACATGTTTTGGAGCTTGCGGAGTGGTTCAGCGGTGCTCCCTTCCCTCTCACTTCCTGAGCGGACTGTCCAAAAATGTACCCAAACTTGTTTGATTTACCACCAAACTGGCCAGACCCCACCATACCACCTCAAAATGCGCCCCAACCCCAAGAAGTGACTCAAGTCCAACTCGGGCCGTGGAACCACGCCCTTCCAACCCGGGCCAACGCCCCGCCAAACGCTTCGCCTGCAGCACGGTGAGCGCCTCAGCCACCGCCAGCTGCGCCGCCTTGGCGTCCTGACAAAACCGAACAACCGGCCCCGCGCGGATCGATCTGGAAGGGACCGCAAGTGAGTCGAACCAAGAAACCCTTCGGCGTGAACTCACTGGCTGGATGGCCCAAAAAAAGTCCGAACTCAAATGGGCCAAAAAAAGTCCGAGTGGATGGCTGAGTGGATGGCCCTTTTAGAACTTTCTGTTTGCCACTAAAATGGTCCTCCCAAAAAGCGACTGAAGTCCATGGCTCAGGACGCGAGTTGAAATGGTGGATCCACCTAAAGAATTAAGAAGGCGCCGAAGACGCCCATTTATTGGTGAGGGGGGGGGTTGCCATTTGCCGGCTCCATGGTCAAAGGATCCATGCTTGGGCGTCATTGTGTTGGGTGAACGTGTTCGTGTTCAATTTGTGTTCCATCTTTCGGGTTCCATTTCGGGTTGCCATGTCTGATCTCTTGCTTTTCAAATAAGAAGTCTCGGGGCCTTTTTTTTAATTATTTTTTTTTTTGGGGGGGGGGGCGGGGTTGAATCAACCTGGCCCCATCTTTGAGCGCCTCAAATTAGCCATTTGAATCAATGGCAAATGACCCATTTGCGCAGACCACCAAAACCAGTACCGCCGTCAATGAATGCCTAGGGCCCAGGGTTCCATATTTTGGCCACGCTCCAAAAGTGAAATTATCTCATTCGCTGTGTAAGAAAAGTTGATGCCGCCGAGCTCTCGAAAGTCGAGTTTGGAAGCCGCGACATCTACCTTTCGTAAGTGACAAAGCCTGTTCTTTGCCTTTGCTAAAATACAGGTGGGGTTCGGGTTGTCGTCAATTTGTTTCACGGACTGTCGCGCCATCTACTGTTAATAAGCGGAAAAGCATCTGGTGATGCTGGGAATGTCGACCACTTTATCCATACACTTTAGTCAACAAAGACTGTCCATGGCAGTATTTGAATAAAGAACATGTTTTCCCGCTTGATAAAAGTAGATGTCGCACAAAAAGTGGTCGACACCCAGCGTCAGCAGCGCTGTATCAAGGACATGATTTTCTGAAACCTAGGACGATTCAGCGTCCGTAAGTGCGAATTAAGTAGCCGGGGCTTGGATCGTCTGGAGTTGAATGCTTTTTGCGCAGAGGGCAGGAAAATGACGCATGCAAGTCAAGAAACATGAAAAAAAAGTGACCCTGAGCAGTCCTAAACAAACGGAAGTCTGCAAATAACTATGGGGGTTAATCAATTGGTCCTTTAATTACATGGGATGACTATTGGGGGAAACCACTAAAAAGATGGATATTTCCCACATGGGAAAAAAGTTGATCCATGGTCATTTGAAAGCCATATTGATCAACCCCTCCCCCCAAAAAAAATGTGTATATATATATATATATATCATGTTATATTATGTTATGTTATATTATATTATATTATAGTACAGTACAGTATAGTATAGTATATTATATACTAAATATTGTATTGTATTATATTATATTATTTTATGTTATTATATATATATACTATATTATACTATATTATACATATGATTAATCTATCAACTCGCCATTTCGCAGCTCAGGGATCCGATATTGCGTCCCATGGATCCCCGCCTCGATGGCAACGGTGTTCTCCTTCTTCTCCTCAGGAGCTTTCTGATCCCGGCCGATGACTCAAGGAAGCACTCAGCCAGGCTGGAACTAGGACCCCAGCAAAACATATACTTTTTTGCCTGGTGGGTGGAAAACAAAGGGGCCCCAAAAAAGCAAAAAGAAGAAAAAACAAGGGAGGAGCTAATTCTGGGGAAGTTAGGACTTGGGGCGAAGGGGCAAATGTGTGCCCTTTGATTTGGGTAACCCAGCCTTTCCTTGCTCAGAAAGAATGACCCGAACTGAGCCACGCCTGAACGAAAGGCATCTCCTTGGGGCTAGGATCATGACGCAAACCCGTCCTAGTACTAGGGACAGATCAAAATCAACCAGGGTTTATTCAATACCAGCAAACCCCGGTGGATTCCCGAAACAGATGGCCCCCTTGGGCGAAAAAAACCAATCTAAACCAGTGAGTGGAGCCCATCTACTTCTACCCAAACCTAACAAGGACCAATGGTTTCTGACGGAGCCCATCAACCACAAAACCTTCTCTGCCACAATCAAGACGAAACCACAAAACCAAACCCATCATTCGCACATGGGGTTTGATCAAAAGATCCTCTACATGGGATGACCATTGGGGGAAACCACTATGACCATTGGGGGAAACCACTGGTCAAAAGAGGATAGTTCCCACATGAGACAAGTTTGCTACTGTGGCTGGACGAAATCCTGCACCACCCAACAATAACGATGACTCCCCTGCACATACCAACAAACAATGGTTTCCCGTGGACTCAAACTGGTGCGAAATGGATTTCGCAACCATCCACAGTATGGTCAAAACCCGGGGGCCGAAGGGAATTTTGATCCACACGTCGCACCAATCGACGCGTCGGGGTTTTTGGTCCCGCTCCTTGGTCCGCAAGTCAGTGGCCTCGGCCATGGCGGTAGAAGAGTCCTTGAGCTGCGCCTTGAGAGACACGATGTCCTCGGAAAATGGCGCGGTCGTTTCCACGTGAAGGCCACGGAAGGGGCCAGGCGCACCGGTTCTGCAGAACATCCGAAAAGAGCAGCTTCCAACCCACACAGCTTCCAAGAGCAGAAAGCAGCTTCCCAACACAACAAAAAATGGGCGCGTCCTTTTGCTTTCCCTGGGGCCCCCCATCGATTTTTTCCCCCGCCGCTTTCCAACCCCCCAACCCCCCCAACCCCCGACCCCCCCCCCCAACCCCCAACCCCCAACCCCAACCACCCAAGCCCCCAACCACCCAACCACCCAACCCCAACCACCCAACCCCCCGCCTCAACCCCAACCGCTCGCCCCCCAACCCCCAACCGCTCCTCGCCGAGCTTGGCGATGGAGGCGCTGAGCTTCTCCGCCTGCGCCTCGAGGCTCTCCACCTCGTCGGACTTCTCGGAGCGCTCCGCCTCGTTGGCGCCCAGCTCCTCCTTGCACCACCTCGGCGCGCTGAGATCTGAGATCAGATCCCAGATCCCCCCCCCGGGTTTCTACGGAGGTTTGGGGGGGGAGGGGGAGGGGGATTCCATGAAACTCTAGTATTCCCCCACAAAAGGGAAGATGGGACCATAAAAATGAAAGTCCAGGCCCCAATGCCATTTTGAAGGGAGTGGGAATCGAAGCTGAGCCCGGATGAGTGGTCTGGAGACTGGACCTGCAACACATGGGCACCCAAAGGTCGGGGCTAACAAAACCCCCAAAGGATTCACCCCCCACGAAGAACTCCAAATTAGATTGGGTGTCTCATCCATTTCCATATGGTGTCTCAAAGTCCCGTCGTTCTCATGAGTTCTGGGGAATGAACCGGAAAAGACGCCTAAGGAGATCATAGGGGAAAAGACGCCTTGCTAAGAACCAGCAAGAAAACTCACGAGTCCGCATCGCGCGAGAAATCCGCCGGGCCAACCAAGAAAGGTGCCAACGTATCCCCAATCCAAAACCTTGCACTGAAGCGGTCTGCCCAAGGCCCACGGTGAACAATTCACAGGGCCAGACTTCGCACCGTTTCATGGTTGGAGCTGTCTCCTACTAAGCTTCATCCAGTCTGCGTGCAACTCGCCGGTCACAGATTCCACTTGTCCAGAGCATCTTTCTCGGGGGTCAAAGCGGAAGGTTGGACCTTAAGTGGTTTACGACCCCTTGATTGCCAAGAGGACAGGAGTTGCGCCTCGGTTTAATTGAGGAGTTGAACTCAATCTGAAGCGCCCTAGACATAATGCGGCCCTCGAGAGATTTTCTCTCATCTCAACCCAAGGAATACCCAAGGAGCACACCAAAAAGAGCAACAACGAGCATACCAAACATAAATGGGCTGGGTGTTGAAAAAGCAGGGTGCCAAACAGAAATCGGTGCCCTATCTCCCACGTTGTCATGGCACTGACAGGGGGTCACTCCAAATTTGCTCGTGGGAGGAAGGGTAGGTGGCCTCTTTGGGTTTGGTCAGAACTATAGATTGGTTCCACTGTTTTTGTTTTTGTGCCCCGTAAGGGGGCCATGGCTTTTTTCAAGAGGTCGCCATGTAGGGAATCCACCTGGGTTTGCTGGTACAAGGAGAATGATGGATGAATCTCAGGAAGTTTCAACCACCTCCCCTCTCCTCCCCTCTCCCTCCGCCTCTCCCCCCCCCTCTCCTCCACCTCCCCCCCCCTTCATCCCCCAAACAGGCGCTGGCTTCCCGTCCCGCCCCGCGCGCAAACCCGAAGAAGCCCGAGGCCGGGGCTGCACCTTGGTGGCCTCGGAGGCGGCCTCCTCCTCCATGCGCGCCACCATGCCCTGGATCCTCGGAGACGCTTTTTGCGGGCTGGATGGCTAAAGCCGCCAAGGGAAAGGCCGGGAGGGACGACTTTCTGGCGACTTTCTGGCGACTTTGTCGCCTTTCCCTCCACTTTCTCCGTCTCCTTCCAAAGAAAAACAACAGTCGCCAAGTCCTCGCGAAAGTCCAGGGAGAGGTTCGTGGGAAAGGTTCAACCAGGGAGGGAGGCTCCTATGGATGGCTGGATGGAAGGGCCCTGTCTTTCTCGTTCGAATCGTTGCTTCGTTCTTTCTTTCCTTCTTTCTTTCTTCCTTCTTGGGACGCTCCTCCCCAAAAATGAAAAAAGGAAGGAAGCAACCCACTAAAGGTCCGGGTTGGATTCGCCGGATCCCTCCACTTCTGCCAAAACCCGAAGCAACAAAGAAAGGATCCAGGATGGTCAAAAAAAAAGAAAGGATCCTCAGTCAGCTTCCCTCACGAAGGGTGGTTTGGATGGTTTTGGAGGTTGGGGGTGGTTTCCATTTGCACCCTACAAGCACCCGGGGTTCAAATCCCAAATAACCAATCCAGCTGATCATTTGAGGTCTGTCAAAACGCAACAACACACACGATGGCAAAGACCCGTTTGGGTAGGGCTCCCCCATCTACACTGGGGGGCTCCAATAGACCTCGTTTGGAGCTTTCCCAGTGGCGAAACGGAAGGAGGGAAAAAACCAGGAAATCAGAAGGGGGGGTGATTCCATTTCTCATTCCCTGCTGAGAACCAAGTTTTTTCTTGGGGAGAGGTGTGCTTTGGGAGGGAGAAAAAGGGGTCGGATGCCCAACTGGTTGGGCTGACAACTGTGTTTGGTTCGACTTTGCAAGTAGCAAACAAACAAGTTGGACTTCATTTGGCTGATTTTGGTCCGGTTGGTCGGTGGACCCCCCTTTCCGAAACCCGTTTAGAGCAGCTTGGTGCAGCCACAACAAACTTTGACCCCTTGTGAAAGGGAACCAACAGGTCGCTTGAACATGTTTAAGTAGTTGGCTGAACCATGTTCATAGAGGAACTGAAGTTGGAAACCTCAAGGGATGGTGGGATTTTATATATTTGGATTATTTAATCTTTTGGTCACCTGTTTTCCCCCCCTTGGGGATGGTTAAGCCTGTTTGACATTGAACTCGAGCAAGGGAGATCTCGTCCTCGATTGCTTGAACAACCCACCACATCACTGACTTTTTGCCACAATTTTGTTCTCAGCGGAACCTCCGAACAACCTAGCGCTTCGTGTGGCAGATTAACAGGCTCCTTCGATATTTGGACCCTTAAAGATATGGGATCCTTCCTTACATTCCAGATGTAAGTGGTACGGGCATCCCCTTCCGGATCATTTCAACCAAAACCCACGCGTCCTTTTTTTATGGCAACCGAGGCGCAGCTCCTTGACCTTGTCGATGGGATCCGCCAAGACCCGCAGCGCCAAGGCCGAGAGCTGCTGGCTCTGCAGCTTCGCGGCCGAGTCCTGCAGCAGCTGCGCCACCTGCGTCGCCCGGATCGATCGATCCCGCGCTCGCGCGCGTCGCATGCGTCGCGTGCGCATGCGTGTGCGTGCGTGGGCGTGCGTGTGTCGCGCGCGGGGGAGAAAAAGCCAGAGCTGGCCTTGCGGGTAAATAAACCAGATGGGGTTTGCCTGGATGGAAGACAACCCAGCTAAACCAGTGGAACCCATCGAGTTTTTATCAAACTGTATCCTAAAGCGAGACTCGAGCGGCCCGCATTCACTAGCACATGTTCGAAGCAAAGCCAACTGGATAGGTTGAAGCGGGAAAACAAAAGCTGCTTTTGACAATAATCTCAGAAACATGTCAACAATCAATCAGTCCAACCCAACAAGTGGCTTTCCCGTTCTGAAAGAACAAGTGTGCACAGCTGGGGGAGTGGGAGCTTAAATGCCACCAGGAGACCTGCAAAGGAGACGCCCTCCCCCCTCCCCCCGGGTTTCAGGCGATTCCCTTGTCCGATTGATTCAGCCCCCCCCCCGGAGCAATCGACCCATCGAAACCGAACTCGAAATCGATCGATCAACTCGATGGACTCGCCTTCTTCATGCTGGGGCTACGCAGGGACTGCACCGCCGCCAAGGCAGAGCCAGTCTGAAGCCTGAGATCTGTGGGACGACCCCTCCCCGCCAAAGACTGGGCTGTACCCTCCAATTATCTTGGCTTACTCCCTTTAGCCCCCGCCCCCCACGCGCACATAGACACATAGACACATAGACACATAGACACATAGAGACATACACACATAGACACATAGACACATAGACACATAGACACATAGAAACATAGACACACACACACACACGCACAGATCTGGGATGTGCCTTCCAATGCTCTGGAAACCGTCACAACATCTCCAATCTGGGCGTTCCAAAGATTGAAAAAAACAGGGAGGGGTGGGGTCTCCTAATACTTGTAGTTTGTTGCCGCCGAATGCGAACATGCCACAACTACCTTCCAAACAGACTCACGCTTACATGCGGAGCTGCTAGGGAACACATGCCCAAAATGATTCGAACCAAAGAGAGCTTCCCAGCACATCCCTCAGTCTGAACTTGCATATCTGTCCAACCGTGTATTGGGGTTAAAAACAAAACAAGTTATTGCATATATATATATATATACACATATATATATATATATACACCCACACACACACAAATGAACATCCCCATTGCAAGGCGCAGCTTGGGCAGGTGCTTCTCAGCGTTGCCGGCCACTGCGGACCCCGAGATGATCTCCGTGGCCTGAGCGCCAGGAATCTGACTCACTGGAAGCGGGGTTTCTTTGGGCGCCCAGGGGTTTGGGCGGCTTGGACGAAGGGGAGACCAAAAGCAAAGCCGTCATTTTTCGGCCTCCCCTCTTTGAACTCCCTTCTTTTCGCGCTGCATTGGATTCTGAGTTCCAAATGCACCCTCTGCGTTGTCCGGGGTAAGCCAAAACGAAACCTGCCCACTTTTGGGCTTTAACTGTGCTGGTTTGCTTTGTATCTTCACAACTTCCGCTGACTTGCTCTGGCATCTGGGGCCGCAATGAGCTAGAGTGTTCTAAAACAACTCAAGCTTCCAAAACTGGGCTGCCCGTTTTCTGATCCCCTGCTAAGAGTGACTCACTTTTACTGGGTTACATGGAATCTACCACTAAACACTAAAAGGCTAAAAGGCTAAGGAACCGGATGGCTGGAAGCCACCAAGAAAAAAACCGCCTCCTCGAAACTCTCTAAATCGACCCCTGCCCCCCCAACCAAAAAACAAAAGTGAGGGCAAGTCCTTCACTCCAACAGGTCAGACGTCCCGTCGCTCCATCGCTCCATCGCTCGCTTCGCTCGCTTCGCTCGCTCAAGCGCGCGCCTTGCTGATGGCCTCCAGCTCCTCCGCCCGCAGCCTCTGCCGGCTTTTGAACTCCGCGGCCTTCTGCCGCCACGACATCTCCAGGTCCTCGCAGCAACGCACCGCGACGAACGAAAGCCGGCGGTGTACCAAACGGTTCGCAAGCCGCGGCGGCTGTTTGCTGACGCCACCCTTCCCCCCCATTTTCGGAGAGAAAGGGAGGGGATCCAAAAGGTGAGGCGATCTGTTGTGGCCCAACTATTGAACAAGTTCAGTTGGAAGCGGCCAACATGAGCATGTCCGCATGCACCCTCCCCCAAGCCCGGCTTCATGCGGGTTTTCCGTTCTTCGCATGAACTACAGGGTCAAAATCGTTTTGACAAGTCGAGGGTTCCCGGCCCGATGGATCTGCTTGGGCCGGCCAAATCGTGGCATCTGTGTCAAAAAAGCCCGTTGTTGACAAACAAAAAAAAACAACGGTCAAAGGGTACCGCCAATGTAAGGGTTTAAGGGTTTCAGGGTTTCAGGGTTTACCCACAGGTCTGGGTTCAGGACGAAACCAACAGAGGAGCTTGTTTGACCGAGAGCCGCGCCCAAAAATCCTCAATGCACCCTCAATCCTCTGACCTTACTCCATGGAGGTAGGACAGAATCATAACGATGTGCTGCTTCCTTGTTGGCTGCTGGCATCAACAGCTAGGCGTCCCTGGCCACAGGGCGCAGCTAAGGGTCGGTCTTAAACTAGGGAACCCGCTTTTGGTTTGGTTCTCAAAAAACACCAACAAGCCGCCCGTTATTTTTTAGAAGCGCCCATTTTTGAGACCCAAGCGAGTGTCCTTCTTGTACTTCGTATCCTCCGCCAATGTGGCCTGGGTCTCTGCCAGCTCACTCTCGTCCTTAGCCTTCTGCTCGGCAATGCTTGCCTTCTCCTGCCGCCGTGTGGCTATGAACCTGCAGTTTCTCCAGCTCCCCAGTTCAGGGACCCTGATACAACACTTTCTGGAACCGTCTTTGGGGTTTACTATTTCACTAGGGAAGCCATCACACAAAAAGGGACAAAGGGCGTGCCACTGCACAAGGGGGTGCCACTGAACTTGGAAAAGTTCAAAGCCTGAAATCAGGGTGTGGCTCAAAATTAAACAGGGTTACGCAGGTTTTGGTCCATGTTTCCACTTATCAGGGTTCCATTTTGGTTCCAGTCTTTTGAGCCACAGCCATAAGAAATGGAAGTGAAGGCTGACTGTATGTTACTCAGTCCCCGTGCCCTGCCACCCGCTCCTGCAGCTTCCTCTCCTTGTCCTTGCTGGCGTCGCTGTTCTCGGAGTCGAGGCCTGCCGGCTCGGCGGTGTCCCGCGGCCCGGGAGTCCGGGAGGCGTGAAAATCGGCGCGGTCCGGTCCCCCCGGCCTTTTGGGCGGGAACCTCCGCGAGCTTTCCGGGAGCTTGCGCAGCCAAAGGTTTGGAACCCAGCCCTTTTTAGGCCCATTGAAACTGATGAATTGGAATCCGAGAGGAAGCCTCATTCAAGGATTTGTCGTCTTCCCAGCAAGAAAACGGGCGTCCGGCTTTTTGCAAGCAAAGGTCAGGCACGGCGATCCTTGGCCTCCGCCTCCGTCTTGCTTTGGGATTGCATGTCCACCAGTGAGCTAGGCTGGAATTAGGAGCCCAGCAAACAATTTGTCTTTTTTGCCTGGTTCGTGGAAAACAAAGGGACCCCAAAAAGCAAAAAAAAAAGGGGTATTTTGCAGAGTCTAAGAGGAAAAGCCCAAAGCAAGTTCATCTGCAGAGAGGTGTCTCCTGTTCCCTCGCGCCCCTCTTGAAACTTCCATGTTAGACTTTGCTTCCGGAAGATTTCCCGCACAGCGCCTG